GTCTGTCTGTATCTATGTATTGTAGTAGCAGTAGTAGTGGTAGCAGTACTGTTCGTGGTGTTTTCATGGTCCATCACGGACGGCTGCATACGAGGAGCCCCGAGGACGCACCTCCGGGCCCGAGCCCTTTTTATCGACTTCACAGAAGCCGACACCCTTCCTCGTGTTACGAATGAAAACACACAGACGGGCCTATTTCACTCCGGGTCCCCCTTCTAATCCCCCGAGCTGGGGGCCGGCGCCTAGGAGGTGTACGGCGGCGGCGGAGGAGGGGAACCTCCTCTCCCTGCTCCCCTCCCCTCCCCTCCCCTTCCCCCCCCTCGCACCGATGTCCCTTGTTCCCAGCCTCAAGGTGTTTCAGCACGTGGTCCAACCCCTGCTCCACAAGGAACTTGGCAGTGCTCTTCCTGTCGGGTACGATAGACGCCCAGACGCAATCCAAAACCGCCACCGCGTACGGCGCCGGCAGCAGTGGATCCAACGCGCGCAGCCGTGCCAGCGCCGTCAACAGCGCCCGTACGCCGTCGGCCTTGCGTAGCCGCCGCTGGTTCTCGGCATGTAGTGTACACATAGCCGTGATGCACAGCAGTGCAAAGTGTCGTACGGGCTCCGGATAGCCGCTGCCGCCGCCGCCGCCGCCGGCGGTGGCGCTGACAGTGCTGGTGAAGCTAGCGCGGCCGCCGCCGCCGCCGCCACCGCCACCGCCGCCACCGCCGCCGCCGTCGTCAACGATGTTGAGCAGTACGGGGATAAGGCCCGCGGCTCCGAAGCTGTCCCGCGATTCCGGAACCAACGTGAAGAGGTGGTGCACGTGGCGCAATGCGGCCTCGAGATGTGCCGCGAGGGGTGCGGCGCCGACAAAGCTTAGCAACGTGGCAGTGCCGCCGGCACGTTCGTACTCGTCAGGGCACAGCGGCGACAGCGTGTGCAGTTTGGACAGCGCGGCGGCGCGCAGCGCCGCTAGCTGGTCCGGGTTCCAGCGCCGTACCGCGGGGTGTCCCTCGCCGATGTTGACGTACAGCAGCAGCACGCGCATAAAGCCGCCGGCCGCCGCCGCCAGCACCTCCGGCAACAGACACCCGTGCATCAATGCCGTCCACACTAGGAGTCGAAGCTCGTGGTCTAGCGCATCGGTGGTGAGGGCGTAATTGGCGACGAGCTCAGGTCGCGTAGCGAGCTCGGGGCAGGTGGCAGCGGCGAGTAGCGGCTCGAACACGTGCACGTGCGCCGCAGCGGCGCGGAAATCAGGAGCTTCAAGCAGCAAATTGATGACCACAAGCACGTCATTTCGGAGCTCTTTATCCGCCTTGCTAAAGCCGTTGAGCAGTAGCCAACGGAGGAGCCCCGCCAGCGCGTTCGCAAGGGACTGCATGACGGGCTCGTCCGCCGACGCCGCCGCCTCCGCGACGGCGGTTGCGACGCCAAAGACCCCGCTGTCGCCAGCGCCGACGATGGCGGTGACGCCGCCGGCATCCCCCCTTGATGACGACTCCGCACCGCCGCCGGCGCCGCCACCGCGTATGTCCGGCGGCTCTCCGAAACCGTTGTACGACAAGCGGCCATTACCGTTGGCGTCGGCGCCGCCAAGGCTGTCATCTAGCGTCGCCGCCCATTCGTCGTCCTCGTCATGGCCGTCGCCGCCGCCGCCGCCGTCAGGCGGCGGCGAGAAGCCCAACGCGGCGCCCATATTCCCGCGGGAGACGACCGCATCCCTGCCGCCGCCGCCGCCGTTGACGCTACCGTCGAACCCACCTGGCGCAGCGCCGTTAGGTCGGCCTGACGTACTCCGGTATGTGCCCAGTGTACTGCCGCCGCCAGCTGGCCCTCGCAGGCTGTTGCTTCCAGGCCCCGGCCCGGCAGTAGCAGTAGCTTCAGCAGCGCCGCCGCCGCTGCCGCCGTCACCGCCGCCGTCACCGCCGCGTGCCAGCCGCTGCAGCGACGTAAGGGGCTGTCCGAGCATGGAACGCGCCAGCGGAGCGTTCTCCACCACGTTCCATGTAATCTCCGTTGCCATGCAAGCGGTTTCGGAGCGCGCTCCGCGCGCCAGCAGCGCCGCCAGGCACTGCAGCACGCCCGCATCTACCATGCTGGTGCAGTTGTCAGCATTGTACGACATTGCCAGCAGGGTGCCCGTTATCGGTGCCACCAGCGCCGCGTCAGCGGCGTCGGCGTTTGCTAGGAGTGCACGCGCTAGCGCGATGATGAGGTTCGTAATTACACCGCTTTTGTTGAGGAGGCTGCGACATGACAACGTGGGGACGCGGGAGCAAATAAACCATTACCACAATCAATAAATAAATGTAAAAAAAATTTAATTACACATATATTGTAATAATAAATAAATAAATAAATAAGTATTTTAAATCGAAGTTTGAATCGGATTTTACACTGGATCTGGATCTGGAAGGATCCAGCCTGGGCGCCACGATGCGCTAGCGGTGTGAGTGCGATTGCTACGGTGGGCTCCAAACTCGTGTAAAGACTGGAGCCAGCAGGTCAGCGTGAGTGCGACACGTCAAACAGCGACAAACGAACCACCTAGGCGACGACAATAAACACGTTTCCAGAACCTTTCTGCAGGGGGCCGTAGACTCATCATAGTTTAAAACGTCACTTGGTTAACAATTACGGATAGCCCTGCTGAGGAGGAGGAAGATTTTGTCGGCAGCTAGGTTTGGGCGGCGATGCTGCGGCTGTAATTCATACATGTGATCCACGGAGGCACTGTACGACAAGCCGGATTGGTCATACCTTTGGTTTGTGTGGTACTGGCGCTGGGCTCCCTCCGCCGGCTCGGCTTGCTGCTGCGACAGCTCCAATACGTTGGGTCGGTTGCCGTACGCGTTGGCAAAGGTCGTAATCGTCTGCGCCATCGGTTGGCAGTTGGTTTCGTCGTTGAGGAGGACAGACACCAAGGATGGGTGCAGGAAGTTAATGGGTTGCGTGTACATTTGGAGATGATTTGGTTTGAGCTGAGCGGAAATCCGGTAACCCTAAGTCTACGTTTCGTAAAGCTAGCCAGGGTTGCGCGCACCTGGGCCGCGACGATCTGCAGTTGAGATGGCAGGCCGACAGTGCAGACGATGTTTCCTACGGCTGCCAGTACGTTGGTGATGTGGTTCAACATCTTAAACTCATCGGTGGCCGTGCGTCGGATGAAGGGCTTGCCCAGTAAACTACGAGGGGAACATCGCCGTAAAAATGCGATGACATGGACATGTGCCGCGGGCGGTTGTACCACTGCGTGGCCATATTTTGCAGGTATGGTGTTACGCCTACCTGACGAGCTCACATACTGGTTCCAAGAACAATCCAATTCCACGCTTGAGCAGCGCTACGCTCAGCTCCAGCACCTGCTGTACCTTCGGTAGGTCGCGTATGGTAAACCCATTCTGATTGCTGCGACATAATCGATTTATTGCAGCTACATGTCGCTCGTGAAGGTCTGCGGAATTCGGTCCTGTAAACAGCGCTATGACTTTGTCAAGGTCCACTGCTGGACCGTTGGAAGCTGTTAAAGAGGCCGTTGATGCGTCCATAATTCTCTGATAACAGTAGTTTACATGCTAATTTTTCACGGTGCTCTATGGCCTAACATCTGTCCTCGAAGAGAGAATTCGGTATGCATTTCCTTTAGTTACAGTACAGAATGGTCAACCATTTGCCACACTGCCTTGAGCAAACCTTACCAGTGTGCCCAAAGCCAAAGTCGTGGAGTTAGGGGCAGGCTGTCGTACATGTCCAGTACGCGTTGTACTTTTCAGGAGCTGTCTTGCCGGAAGTCGAGGTTTCAGTTTTCAGGCCAGTATGCCGAACATTACGATATGTCCTGGAGTGGAGTATTAGACACGATTATAAAATTCTTGAAGGACAAACGTGCAACCAAACTTGCTAAGATTGAGGCAAGACCATAGCAACGTATCAAAAACCTCATAGAGAGGGTTTTTCAATGCCCAAACACGTCTCCCTGTAAAAGCACTGACAGCGATTGTCCATCAGCCGTTGACATGAACGGCGGACAGCGACCTGTCTCTCCTGGGTCTCAAATATCCGCAAATGCTGTCCAGCTTTCGGAGGCCCCGGCAGAAATCAGCGGGCTCAGCGCCGTCAACGGTGCTGATGAGCGGCGAGCGAGCAGCAACCCCCCGCAGCCTGCGAACCAGCCGTCCATAAGGGACATGTACTCAATCCACGGCGAGCAGGTGTGGAAAACGAGAGAGGCTTTGCATTCCACACCGGCTCCAAGCTGACTACTGTTCTCCCTGAAGGCGGCAAGGCGCCGGGCCATCGCAGAACTCATCTTTTTCGCCGGCGTCAATGACCTAAGACGATGTAGGCAAATATCGATGACCTGGAATGTCAAGGTGGGGAAGCGGGTAGCCGCGTTGCGCACGTGAGTCGCATGGCTTTCGGCAGCTCCCTCGGAAGTCTTGCATAATTCATGTGCGTCCTTTACTTTAACCTTAACACACGGAACCCAAAACATTTACAAGTATTTTGACCCTTCTACAATGCTCCTCTTTCCAAACCAAACCAACCGGATTATGGCCGATTCATTTAAAGATCGCTGGCCATACTGCAGGTCAAGGAGCCAGCTGTCATGGACTACGACCGTCGTACACCGCTGTAAGTCAAAAGCCACAACATGCTTCCCTCGCCAAAACTAACTGCCATTTTTTGCGTTGCACATTTCTTTTGTTCGCGCCGCTTGTGTACGAGCCTTACCAGGGTCTGGCGCGCGAATCCCGCCACTATATTCGGTCCCCTCATTCACCTCTTTCCCCCAACAACCAACCGCCGGGTCAATGGCTCACCATACCCCCCAACCCCCGGGATCACAATCCTGAAGAGCTCGCCTGCCTTGCCCTTTTTCCCTGTCTCTTTCCCCGTCTATAAATCCCCCTCGTCAACACCCCCCTTCAGCCCCCATCCAAACTTCGCAACCCCTCCTGCAATTTCCTCTATACTTCCCCATCCTCATCCTCAACATCCTTCTTCAGCTCCCGGCTCATACTTCTTCACACACACACACACACACCGCCCCCTCTATTCAAACCCCAGCCACGTGGCTGCAGCAGAGGGCGCCTATTCGGTGGTGGAGTGGCTCGTGCAGGAGGGCGCAGACGTGAATGCCATAGACCGACATGGCCGTACACCTCTCGAGGAGGCGGCTCGTAACGACCACGGCGAGGTAGTGCGGCTGCTCATACAGTTCGGGGGCAGCGTATTCGAGGAGAACAAGGTGCGTGTCGTGTGTGTGCGTGTGTGTGCGTGGGGGTTTGGGGGTGGGGGGGGGGCCACGTGTGTGTGGTGCGCGAGCGTGTCTAGGTGTGTGTTTTCTTTGGGGGGAAAAAGGGGGAGGCGCGGTCGGTACGGTATGGTGTGGTATGGTGTGAGCGGGTGTGGTGAGGTTTGGCTTTCCCGGGGAGAGGCCTTGGGGGCGTAGAAATGAAGGTCTACATGCATTAGATTACATTGCACACATATATATACCTATATGTACCTATTTATACCTATATATATGCAAACGTCAAGGAAACAAGTACGTACTTCAGGGGGGCATATGGTGCAGTGAGAGCTGCGGCGGACACATTCAAAGCAACACCAACTGCACGAGCCCGAAGCAGTGAATGACGCAACTGCTCTCAAAGTCGATTGTAAGGGAAAAAGGGGGTAACGTGGGGTTAACATGGTGGAAAGCCTGTGCGAACTCGTGCGACATCATGAGTTCGCTTATAGCAGCGCCGCCTGCTGCGGAACGGAACTGCTGCATAATGCGGCGGAAAGGAGCGGCGCAGCAGAGCATGCAGCGAATGGCAGTGCAGTGCAGTGGCATGAAGTAAGATGGAGTGCAGCAGTGGCAGCGTGTTGAGGAGAGGAGGGCCCAGTCGGTAGTAGCGGCAGGGGCGCAGTAGCAGCAGCACTTCGGGCCACAGCTTACAGTGCTGCAGCAACCCAATCCATGGGTAGCAGTACGAGTAATACTATTATTATTATTATTATTATTATTATGGTTTGCTGCTGCTTTTGCGTCTCCGTCGTTTTCGGGAACAGCCGGGCTGGGCAATGAGGACTGGGTGACCAGCCTCGCCCTGGTCGCGTGCTGCTGCTGCGGCGGCGGCTGCTGCCTCCCTATCGTTCTCCACTTACGAGCAAGTGGGCTTCCACCTAGCAATGATGGACGCGGCTTAGCTGTTAGCGGGGCGGGCTGGTAAATGGCGCTGTTACTGCCGCCGCCGCCGCTGCCGCCGGGAGATCCACAGCCGCAACCACCGCCCCAGGTACAGCAGCACAGCAACTGCACGTACCGCTGCAGGGCCTGCTATGAAGCAGCCCCGCAGGAGCAGCCGCCGCTCCAGGGACAGCAGCAGCCGTGGCAGTGGGCTGCATGGTGGTGTGTGTATGTGTGTATGTCTGTCTTGGAGGGGACGTAAAACCCTGGGTGACGCATACGGACACGTGTGTGTGTGTCGGGGGGCCCCTGCCTGGGTGGGGCTGTGGTGCTTTGGACTGCTGGGAGACGGACGGGGCGGACGAGGTTTGGGGCGGGAGAACAGAGAGGGGAAGGGAGGGGAGGGAGGGGAAGGGAGAACAGAGAGGGGAAGGGAGGGGAGGGGAGGGAAAGGGAGGGGAGGGACGCAACGAGCGATACGGAGGGAGATGTCGGAATACCCTTTTACCAGCGCTTGCCGCACGTACTGTCCTTCGTACCTGTGTCTTTGTTGAAGCGTGGGGGCTACACTTCCCGGTACAACTCCCCCCCTTGGCGGGCTCTCGAACCAGCTCTTGACCGGAACTCGCTGGATGCCGTTCCTGTACCCTAAGCCTGTTCCGGGGAATTGGATCTGGATCTGGAATGGGATCTGGAATTTGATCTGAAAGCCTGGAGGCGGTCAGATGCTGGTGGCCCCCCTCTGTTACACCGGCCTCTCGGCGCACTTATCCTCTTGCCCTGGTCCCCCACCCCTGGGCTTCCGAGCTCATTTATGGGGGGTAGGGTTGGGATGGGATGGGGGACCCCTGTCGGTTGGTCGTTCTGTCAGTTGGTCAGTTGTTCGTTTGGTCGATCGGTCTGTTGAGTGGGTGTCAATGGCAATGTCAATGACGTCACGCTGACTACCCGGCTCATTAGCAGCGGCACCAGGAGAAGGGACAGGGGCAAGCGTACGTACAGTGAAGGCCCTATCACGCAGTTGGGACCGACCCGCGGGTCATTGGCGACAAGCGGGGGCGGTCCGGCTGCAAAACGCCTGCAGAACGCGCGCTTCCCTCCCTCTCCCCTTGTCTCTCATTGGCCGCTCCCTGACCGCTCAGCTCAGCCTTTCGGCTGCTGTGACCACTCCGCCAGCCAAAGCCCATCCCTCGCTCCCCGGCCCATCCTTCGACGGCTCCCGGCTGCTCCCGGTGCTCTTGACTGCCCTGCCCCCTGCAACTGCCCTCCCGCCGGAAAGCTGGAGTGTGGGCCGCAACGCCGCAATGATAGATAGCCCCCTGCCTTACCCCGCCCTGCCCCCCGCCCTGCCCCCCGCCCTGCCCTGCCCTCATTGCTCTAACCCGCTCATCCGCCGTCGTGGCGCCTGCCGTGCTGTCTGCTCTCTTTCTTGCTCTCTCTTTTCCTCTGCAGCTGGTCGCCCTGGACAAGTCTAAACTTCGCGGCATTGTCAACACCCGACGAATGATGATGACTGAGCTGGGCTGGGAGCCCGAGTGGGAGGTCAACCCCAAGGAGTTGCAGCTGGTGGAGCGAATCGGTGCGAGGGGGATGGGGAAAAAGGGTAGAGGGTCTCCGCACTAGATCCAGTTCCAGATTCAACCCTTCCCCCCACAAACCCACAGATCATCACACCGCCAGATTTCAGAACCAGCGTCAAGACGCCCCAGGTGGTTGATACCTCTTGATACCTCTTATTGATACCTCTGGACAATAAGCTGGATAAAACAAAAATAATTCAGAATACTCCCCAGCCCTAGCGCTCCGGGCAGTTCATCTCTTACTCGTCATCTCTGTTTGTACCAACCTGCATATGATGCTTACCACCTCCCCTCCCCTCCCTTCCCTCTCCTTTCAGTCAGTTCTACGTTTGATACTCCCTTGCCCTGGCAGCAGCTTCAATCGTGTGTGGTTCGTCTTTCCCTTCCCTCTCCTCTCTCTGGCAGCAGCTTCACTCGTTCGTGGTTCGTCCTTCCCTCCCTCTCCCCCCCGCCACTGCCCGCCCTCCCCCGCCGCCCTCCCCAGGCAGCGGCGAGTTCGGGGACGTGTACAGGGCCAAGTGGCACGGCAGCTATGTGGCAGCCAAGTTGCTCAAGCGCTCGGACGAGATCGCGATTGGGGATTTCCGTACGGAGATCGCCATCCTTCGCAAGATCCATCACCCCAACTGCACGCAGTTCCTGGGTGCCTGCACCAAACAGAAGCCGTACATTGTCATAACAGAGCTGATGTCGTGTTCGCTGGCCGATGCCTTCCAGCGCACGTTCTACACCCCTTCTATACGGCGACAGGTGGGTGGTATTGTGGCGACAGCCCCATCCACTCTTGAATGTCCATCCAACCATCCATCCAGCCAGCCAACCATCTGTCCATCCATCCAACCATCCATCCACCACCCTCTTATGATGCAGGTTGAAATCGCGCTTGACTTCGCTCGCGGCATGGCCTATCTGCACAGCCGGCGACAGCCCATCGTGCACCGCGACCTGAAGCCCGCCAACCTGATGATCGCGGGCAACTTGCACGCGGACACGGAGCAGCTCTACCTGGACAGCGGGGTCATCAAGGTGGCGGACTTCGGTGAGTGCGAACTGACGGGCGGGGAGGATGCGGAGGAGGCTCGATCGCGGGTTTCGGAGAGTCGATCGCGGGTTTCGGAGGATTGATCGCGGGTTTCGGAGGGACATGGGGGGACACATAGCACCCGCGCAGGCCGGGGGGAAATAGAACCAAGGGGGGAGAGTGAAGCGGATCTAGATATATATGCCTGTTTTACATGTATGTATGTATATATGTACATGTATGTATATGTGCGTGTATATATGTGTGTATATATGTGTGTATATATGTGTGTATATATACATACACACAGATTGACATATGGACAGACGGATGCACATATAGGAACAAGGACGTGCGCGGGGATGGGCGCGGATTTTCGCAGTGAGACCCACTGGCACATCCGAGGTGCGGTGCTTCTGACTGACCCGTGGGTCACGCTCTCCGAACGCAGGTCTGTCCAAGTCGCTCGTACCGGTGGAACGGCACGGAGGTCTGGCGGGCGCTCTGGATATCAACGTGACGTACAAGCTGACCGGGGAGACAGGCTCCTACCGCTACATGGCCCCAGGTTGGGCATGGGGTGTGTGTGTATGGCTCTTGTGCGCCATAGTCGTGGCGGTGGTGGTAGTGGTGGTGAGGAGGGGGCGGTGGCGGTGATGGTGGTGGTGAGGAGAGTAAGGGCACCAGTATGTGTGTGTTGGGGGGACTGGTTGGGCGAGGGGGGGAGATTAGAAGTGAGAGGGTGTGTGGGGGGGGTTCCGGGCGGGGCCGGGCGGGGCCCTTGTATGCATGTGGCTACGTGAGTAGTCGAGCGCCAGTATGTATGTCAGGGACTTTTGTCTGGGCGGTCTGCCACGACGACGAGCACCAGCAGGTGCCCGCATCAGCTTCTTCGCGTGTGGGGCCGTACTTCCTCCGCATTACTTGAGAGTGCTAGCCAGAGGCTTGGGCATGAGGGAGCTTTTATGGGCACGGGGTCCCGGACAACCCTTTTTGGTTGGACTGCGCCTTTCTTGAGCGCATCTACATTTGTGCACCGGCACCTTGAGGTCTTCACGGTGTCAAATGACCACATTCCGCTCTTTCCCCCCCCTTTCCCGCCACAAACACACACACACACCCGCTGCCTGCAGAGTGCTTCCGGCACGAGCCGTACAACCTCAAGGTCGACGTGTACAGGTGCGTCGTACGCACGCGGTGTGACGGCCTTTGGTTTCCTTGTCTCCCCCCGGCCAGTTGGGCTTCTCTTTGGGCTGTGCGCTATCCGGGGCGCTATCCGGGGCTGTGTTGAAGCCCGTCCAGGACTCTTTCCCCCAGAGTACTTTGCTTGGCGTGGGCCGTGCCCAGCTGTTCAGGATGGGGCTTATCAGGATGGGCTGCCGTACCTACCCCCCTACCTACCTACCTGTCTACCTACTTACCTACCTAAACCCCCTACCTAAACCCCCTACCTACCTACCTCGGCATGCTCCTAGGTCTTCATCGCGTTCTTGTGATCCCGTAGTGATGTGATCTGTAGTGGTGTGCGGCCTGGGCTGTCCCTCGTTTCGTCCTCTTCCCCCTCCTCCTCCTCCTCCCCCTCCTCTTTCTTCTCCTCCCCCTCCTCCTCCTCCTAACGCCGCCTATCGCCGCCTCTCAAGGGAACCCGCCTTCTCCCACATCCCACCTCTCCTGCTTCCGCCTCCGCCTCCGCCTTCTCTCTTCTTCCTCTCTCTTCCCGCCATCCCGTCGTTCCTTTCCCCTCCCTTCTCTTTCCCACAGCTTCGCCATGATCATCTTCCAGCTGTTCGAGGCCACTCAGCCCTTCGCAGGACACGACCCCGTGGAGGCCGCCCGCAACGCCGCCATGCTGAGTGCGCGACCGGGCTTCCCGCCCCGGAGCAAGTTGTCCGCTACCGAGGTGGTGAGTGAGCGAGTGACGTGTGGAGGCGCCGTGAAGGCGACCGCACGTGTGCTGCTGGGGTGTGGGTGTGGGTGTGCGCCGGGGGGCCCGAGGGGGCCTGAGGGCGGTCACTTAGCGCCCTGAGGAGGTGGCAGGACTTAGCGCCATGACGGTGTATGTATGTTTGAGAAGTGGGGGGAAGGAGGAAGGGGGTTTTAGGGTTTTTCCCCCCTCCTCCCCCTTCTTCACCTTCCACACACCTTCCACCCCTCCCCCCGGTCCTCCCCCCGGTTCCTCCCGTCTCCGCAGTCCATGCGGCGGCTGATTGAGGATTGCTGGGCAGCTGACGCGGAGAAGCGACCCACGTTTGAGGACATCATCCAACGGCTGGAGGTGGAGCTTGCCAAGCTGCCCAAGCACCAGCACTTTGAGAAGGATGCGGCGTGCACCAACTGCATCGTACAATGAACACGATTAAAAATTGCAACAGTTCGTTAACCGTATATACATTATTGTAACTGTAAAACGATGACGGCGGTGGTGGCGATGGATGGGGTGGTGACGGTTGTTTTAGGGAATGAAGTAGTGGTGGTGGTGGTGGTGGCGGCGGTGTCGATGGCTAAAAAACATGATTAAGACGGCGGGATAAGACCTATGACTGGTGTTGGAGTGCAATGTGAGTACTAATGCTGCGTGGCTGTGTTTTTGTTGTTGTTTTTGTTGTTGTAGTAGTGGTTGTGGTGGCGGTAGTGGCGGCACTTTTGGTCTTGGTACTGGTCAATCCTCGTCGTTGCAGCTGTGTGTGTGGGGGGGGGGAGGGGAGGGAATTGTACGTGTCTGTCTCAGCGAATTGTACGTTTGTGTATGAATGTCTGTGTGTATGTGGTGTGCCCGTTCTTGCGGCGCTGGTGGTGTTGGTGTTGGTGGTGATAGGGATTACACAACGCGTATGTGGTGTTTTGCTGGAATCGGAGGGGGATTGGGACCAGGACTCCGGGGCCCAGGCCGAAACACGGGAAGTAAGGAGAGGGCCGTCTCCCGTCGTCTTCGCGGCGTTGCGTGCGTTACATGGAAACGATTGCGAGAGCAACCTGCTGTGAAATAATAAGGAATCGACCCGGTACAACCTTTTACCTTTTTCTTCTTCCCCCAACTCAAACCTTACTACTGAGTGTGAACACCCTACATAATGGCGATGATATGAGGCGTCTTGCGGATTGATTCTCCGGGCCACAAGCAAAGTGTTACTATTTATGTTTGGAATGGTGCGGCAATGGTACGGCAATGAACTGGTGGTCTGTTGCTGGTGTTCAGACGCGAGATTTGAGGAGAGGGGGTTGTTGGAGGACTTAAGAGTTTGGCTTCGGTACCTTTGGGTTTTACCTAAAACTTGCCTGCGCGGAATAAGAGTGTATCACATGAGAGACATGAGGCTAGGTCTTGGTTGCTGTGTTGCTGCTGCTGCTGCGCTGCTGCCGCCGCTGGCATCGATGCCTTGGAATGCTCCTCCGGCTGCTGCTGTTGCTGCTGCTGTTAACGGCGGCGGCGAAATCAAGGACGAAGATGGCGACGCGAGGGTGAGGATGATGGAAGGCTCCGGAAGTTTCTTTTCGTTGAAGCATTGGTGAACCCCTGGGGCCATATGCAGCACGATAGCCATCATGGGGTTTAGAGCACCGCTGTTTGCCCTTTGCGCGGGGTAAAACGCTTCATGTGGATCAGTCTTAAATCGATGTACAAAACGTACACTGACTGACAGTTGTGGGACGCGGATGGATGCATGTATGTATGTATGTTATCCATCCGTTATCCTCTGTCCTCGTGGGGTACGAGAGGAAAAAAGGAGGAAAAGAAGAAGAAAGAGGAGAAGAGATCTTGGGGGAGATGCACCGCAATATCTCCCCCTTTCTCTCCATCTCTCTCAACTCTCTCTCTTTTTTTCTTTCTTTTTCACAGCAGCGGACGAGTATCGATTTTGGTGATGGTGGTTATGATGGCATGAGTGTGTGCATGTGTGCCGGTAAGAAGCATGTTTTTGGTTTTGAAGGTGCACGAAAGCGCTTTCGTCCTGCATGCATCTGGTCTTTCGTCCTATTCCCGGCATTGGGGGCGCTGCTGGTCTTGCAGCTCGCGCAGCGCGCGAGGGGGGGGATGTTCATCGCGCGTCGCGGTTTTCGTTTGACCGTGTGTGCCCCCTTGCGGTGTGAGGTGAGTGTCGGAAAAGAGTATTATCAGCACATCGCGTGAATTCGAGTAGCATGAGTTGGCGGTCCCCGCTTTTTGCATATTGGGAAAGTAACGGGAAATACGGCATGCATGGGGGGGGGGAAACTGGTGCTTGTTGCATCTAGTAGGGTTGTGGGGTGTGGCGCCCTTGACATGGGGGGGAAGCTAAGACCTCCATGCATCTGCTGTCAGGATTAATGGAAACTCAGATGAAGAAGCCTTGCTTCCGTGTATGTATGTATGTATGTGTCGACAGGTGCGTGAGGCTTGCGTCAGCCAGACATGGCTCCCCCAAAAAGGGGGAAATCGCCTAGTTGGGGTTCTGGTTGCGAGGCTGGGTGGCTGGCATGGAAGGCCGGTGATGGAAGACGACATCGACAGACGGATCAGAGACGAGTACACACACACATATATATACACACATACAGCGCATGCTTGACGATGGTAGGTAGATGGGATTGGGTGGGTTGGTGGATTTGCGTCGTCTTCATTCTAAGAAGGGTGCGCGCAGGCATGGTTTATAATGAATGCTAGCTACATCTGCTGCTAATGCTATTGCTATGCTGACTTGACAGATTCTGTGTTTTGCGAGCAGCAGGCAGAGCAAACGGAAAGGTGAAGGTAAAAAGAGGGATTTGGTGGCGTGTGCTACTTGGGACAAGTGTGTCTGGATGTTCCTCGGGATATCCATTTATTGCGGGCGTCTTTTGCCATCATCTTGCATGGCGCCGTTAACGGACTTGCTTTATGTCCAGATCCACGTGTGCGAGATGTGCATCGTGCATGTGTGCGTTAGCGTACGACTCATGCGCAGGGAAGCACCACATGCACAAAAAAAATGGGGTCAGTAATAATTTGATGGTCCGGACAAAAGTGCGCTCGGTATGAAGCCTTTCCGTTGCCATATGCAATACGGTCGAAGCCAGAAACTAAGGTTTTCTATTTTCTGTGAATTGGAATGTGTGTGGAATCTGTGAAGTGGGATCTGTGCTTCAACCAGTGCTGTTCTGTGCTCCTGTCTCCCTTAACCGTATTCTCATGGCTCTGCCGACTTGAACGTGCTGGCTGACCGTGCAAGGAATGGTAAGAGACGGGAAGCGGGGAGACCAGCTGCCAAGGGCCCTTACACTCCAGTAGAACACAACCCGAGCCAACCACGGCCGCGCGACTGCGGCCCCTCGGCCGCCACACCACTACCGTGCGGCCGTCAACACTTCCCCCCCCAGGGGGCGACACGAACGCGACAGACGACGCAAAACGTAAAACCAGAAGACGGCCAACGACCACCACAACCAACTCAAACAACGGCGACCCTGACATCCTGAAGCCCGAGCAAGGACACCGACTCAGTGCTACAGCGACAAGCACTCCCTACCAGGGCTCTAAAGGCCACGCTACTAGGCTAAAAGACCCAACCGCAACCAATTTCTCCTCAACCCTCAAATCCCGACCCGCCTGCTGTCTAGCCACTCCTCAGCGAGCATTTTCCACCGGTCCGCCGCTGGCCGAGCCCGGTGCGGAGGTGTCTGGGACTGACCGGTGGAGAAGGGAAAAGAAAGGGGGGGATGAAAGAAGAGATAGCGACCGCGAGTGCAAGGAGGGAAGGTGGGCGGGAAACTGTCAGCTATAAGCTGAAGCTCTACTGAGTGAAAGGCAGAATGAAGCAAATAATACTTGCCATTCCAATACGGTTGTACGACAGTCGCACAGAACCAGACTTAAGAGACTCCGATCGCATCTAAGTCAACAATTACAACACCGTCTGTATGCCATAGATGTCAGTGGGCAATGCGTGTTAGTTAGGGTCGCACATACACTGCTCCGCCTGGCTCCACACACCCGCGCGCACACACGGTGCCTAGCCGGTAGGGGTAACCGACCTAACGACCACCAGTAACTCGGGGTTCAACCACCAGTAAGGTTATCAGTTGGTAAGGTAAACGACCAGTCAGGTTACCAGTAAGTTACCGAGTCGTTATCTCAAAATGTCGGTAGCGTGTGTACCTATCAACCTCATATCATGCGCACACCTCATTCCGCTATCTTAGCTGCTCAGCATACACATGTGTGATGTGTGGGACAGGGGGGGCATATCTTCGTCCTGCGGCCGCGAAACCCTGCCTTCCCCGGTATTTCGGGGCACCCTCATCCCGTCACCCTAGCCAACTTCTCAGTGGATCGCTCAGGTTCCGCACCCAACGGAATCTGCCGGGTCGACGGCGGCCCAACTCCATTATTGGTCAGTCAACTTTATCCCATATTACTACCGTCCATCGACTAGACCTTCCACCATCAGTCTCGATCCTGGGATCTCCCGGGGGCATTGGTGCGTGCTCTACCAGTAGTGCTGACCTGACACATGTGTGTGTGTATTACATGGTCGTGGGTGCGTTCCCCGTACCTGCAAACTAAACTGCATAAGCTTGCGGTTCGCTGAACACACACACACACATGTGACCTACCTCACCCATCACGACGCGTATCTCAGCTATGCAATACGACAATTTCCTCCCTCTTTTGAATTTTATGTTATCAAACACGCGTATACACCCGGGGCTCTTGCGTTTATTCACATCGTCGTATCATCATCATTTATAGCCCTGATGATATGTCTTAGGGTTTACTCTACCATACCCCATCATGGATGAAAAGGTCAAAACCCTACTACGCTAATCTCTCAGGTATTGCAAAGGCATTCGACAAAGGGCATCAAGACGTTGTTGTATCAGAAAGCCCCCCGCGGGAAGGGATGCCCCGGAAGGCAGACAGACATCTTGAACAGCACTACTGAACAGCACTACTGAACACCTCTAGCTGCTAGAGGATTACAACAGCAGCAGTAATACATCCAAAGCCATTATCATACACAACAATACCCTAAGTTGGCAAACTACCGGAGCCCCATCTTGCTAACCATCAATCGCCACCTTCCCGGCAATCCATTGACCGGCGGCTCCCGTGATGCAGCCACCCACTCGGCCATGCTGACGCAAACCAAGTTCTCCTTTCCGAGGTGACGTGTCAAGATGCGGTTTCGGAGCGCCGTACGACCATCAATCCGCGTTGTGTACGGTTCGTTGATCATGAAATGGAACGGCCCGTCAAACTCCACAGCCACTCGGTGCAGTGCAGTACCACCCTCCGGAAGAGGCCGCTCGATAATGGCCTGCAAGTGGGACGAGATGCGATGTCCGTATTTATATGAATCTGATATCTGATCTAAAAAAATTGATCTGATGCTCTTATGTGTGATTCTTTTACGTAATTGAATTTTACGTGGATAATTTTATCTTACATGTTATGTTTTCTTGTTGTTTTAGAAACACTATATTTCAGCCTTAAAACGATTAAACTTGATGTACTGCTATGTCGGACATCAGCAGACGAGTAAAGTAGCGGCAGCAGAAAATAAAGAAACGAAACAAACGTACGCTCAAATATGCGCAGACAGACTTACAGACTTACTTACGCTTACCTGCACGTCAATTTTCATGAGCTGCTCTCCTCCAGGCACGAGCTCCTGCTCGAACAGCAGGTCCTTGAGCCGCGAGTAGCGACCACTCGTATGTATGGCGTTTAGCATGGACTGAAAACTGGCCTGCCGTAACCATAAGCGCAGCACCAGCACCAGCGCCAGCACCGGCAAAAACAACACAGCAGGCGTAGCATTAACAGCGTAAACAGCCCCTGCAGCAGTAGCAGGCTAGCAGCCATAGCACTAGTAGTACAAACAGCTACCATAGTCTGCTATTCTGCTGTGTAACTCCTAAAACCCTGGGTTTAATCCTGAATTACTTACTACCCGGTCTATCTCTGTTGTCTGGTTTATCAATCGTCAGTGATTCGTCTTACCCCCTTTCCCCCCCCCTCAAGGGGTCAACCCGCACCCCCACCACCACCACCACTTGACCAACTGCAGCCCGCTTTCATCCGAACACCTGCACTCGTGAGTATGTGTGATCAGCCTCCGACATTCCCAGCCTGCCAAGTCGAACCAGGTCTCCCCTTAACGACGCGTACGGCTGGGGCAGCGCGGCGAGCTCCCGGTGGACCTGGTTGGGAAGGAAGGGGGGGGGTTCGCAGGGTAGCGGCGGTGCAGAGGCGCACAGGGGGCCGTGGGGGGGGGTTAAGACGGATCGCTCGCGTGCGAAAGGAAAAGCAGCAGATACCCGAGGTAGACGGATAGACGGATGTACGCATCAGGAATACTCCTGGGGGAGAAGACGAACCACAGACGAGTGCCGCTGAGGGACATGGGGCCATGGGGTAATTAGGTAAGCATGCCTCATGCATAGCGTCACGAGACACAGACACACAGACAGACAGACAGACAGGCAGACAGACAGGCAGACAGACAGGCAGACAGTGGCACGCAGGATTTTACCGACTTGCCCTCAACGTCCCCGAACACAAGGCGCCAGAGCCAGGTGGCGGTCCCCCTTGTGCTCCTTGTGCTCCCTGCCCTTTCCGACGACTGACTCACAAACAAACAGTCACACACACAGTCACATCGCACTGCCGCACATTCAATGATCACAACCTCCCTCAAAATGGAAAACACAAAAAGACACATATTCCAGGTAAAAACTTAAATTTCAAATTGTAAAATGCATGAACACACAGATATGCAAGATCTGCTCCACAACCGCTACTACAGCTACTTACCTAAAGATTCGTGAAAAACTCACAGCTATGCTGCAGCGCTACTGCTACGTGAATTTTACCAGCAGAGTAAGATATCCAAGAACTGGTACACACACACACACACCTGCCACAGCTGCCTCTGCTCGTCCACGTTGAAACCGTCGGGATTCCCACTGGCCGCCGCCCCCCTGGAGTTCACCTCCTCCAAAAGGCTGGTCACAATGGATCTGGTGCGGGGAAGGCAGAGCGGGAGGTAGAGAGGGAGGTAGAGGGGGGGGAGGCAGAGGGGAGGGGCTGGGAGGAAAGCAGGACAAAGAATAACAAGAAATGGGCGCTAGACAGGAGAACAAACATCATTGCATTACAGAAAAAAACCCAAAGCCAATTGTTCCAAATGTTCTAACTGACGAAAAAAATCCAAAATTGCCGACATGTTTAAAACCCGCACAAAACCCCACGGGCCCGGAGTCCAACCGGGCCACCTAGCGCCCCGGCCGTAGCGGGCCCCTCCCCCCCCCCGAAGCGGAGAGACCCGCCTACCTGTACCTCTCCAGCGCACCCTCCAGCACAGTGAGTGACCATAGCGTGTTGGCCAGGTCCTGGGGCTTGGCCGTACGAGCCTGTACGAGGAACAAGGGCAGCAGCAGTAGTAATAATAGCAGCAGTAGCAGCAGTAGTAGTAGCAGTATTAGCAGCTGCCAAAGCAGGAAGTGGATGGTACCAGCAGTAGAAGCAGTAGCAGCATCAGCAGCGTGAGGAGCAGGCGATATCTCAATAACAGCTGTAGCAGCAGCAGCAGCAGCAATGATAAATACTCTTACCCGACGCGCAACCGTGTCAGCCAACAAGCGCACGAGATCCACCTCCGAAACCAAACCACCACCGCCAGCTCCATCCGCGGGGTCGTCAACCGCCGCCAGCACTCCACCAGAATGCCGCAGCCGACCTCCGCCTCGATCGCTACGGCTGCTACAGCCAACTCCCCCTCCAAACTCATCGCCGGAGCCGGCCCCATAGTTGAGCTGCGCAAGGCCCACAAGGATCGCCGTACAGTCCCAGGCGCTGGCGCCCTCCAGGCCGCCGCGAGCCGCATGATCTCGGAGCGCATTCAGAACCGCCGGGCTGTAGTACCTGCGGCGCGAACGCCTCTTTAACGAACCATTACATTTCATGTAAAACCCTAAAACCCTAACCTAAAACCCAAACTTTAAAAACCCTACAGCCCCATAGCCCCCCTATCATGCGGGGCCGGTGAGGGATCGTCATCCCCGCACCGCTCATTCTGCACTCCCTTCATTCCCTGTAATGAAGGGGTATTCATTCCAAAATGATAGGGTGTCCTCGATTTGGGTTCTGGAATGGAGGGTCAAAATGAAGGGATGGAATGAATGTGAATGGGATATGGAATGAAGGCTCCCTGAAGGCTCCCAGAGTGCCCCGACATCCGTACCCCCCCCCCCCCGCTACACAGCCCGCCATCGATCCGATCCGGCCACTAACTTGAGCTTCCCCAGTGCGAAGATGGCGTTGGAGACCTCTTGGTGGTTGAACACGGGCACGGCCCTGCATGCGGAGGTGGGTTTGGAGAAGCCCCTCTCCACTATGGCTGAGACCAGGTGGTCCAGAGCCGCCAACACCTCGGGCTGCTGGCTGGCCTGGATGGCCGATCAAGAACAGACAGACAGACAGACTCACTGACTGACTCACTGACTGACTCACTGACTGACAGCAGTTATTACAGGAACGGACAGATAGACAGACAGACAGACACAGATTGGATAGAAGAAGGTGAGGTGAAGGACAAAAGAATGAAGGGAGAACGGGGCACACACGCGGGCACAATGTGAAGGTGGTTGGAGGGGTTGACTGACGACGGCGATTGAAGAGGAAAGGTACTTCTCACTTCCCCCCCCCATCCCCCCCCCACCCCTCACCCCCACCCCTCACCCCCACCCGTCACCCCTCACTAACACCCCTCACCCCTCCCACTTCCCACCTTAACCTATCCAGTCCCCAAAAGACACAATAACACCCCCTGCAGCCCCCCCTGCAGTTCCCCCAAAGCCCAGCCCACACACCCATCCATCCACACTCACTCACTCACTCACCAGCACGTCTTCGCCATGCAGCCGCTGCAAAGCCGTCAGACTAATACACACGTCCTTGCAGGACAACTGACTCGTAGGCCAACTCGCCAGCGCGCCGCAAAGGTGCGTCAGCACGCGGTCGTCCCGAGCACGACCTGAGCCCATGCACATCAAGATGGTTGAAATGCTGATAAGCGGGATGCTCGGCGGCGCGTGGAGTCGTGTGGCAGATAGGAGGTGCTCCGCCGCGCGATGCGGCCACCACCGAAGTCGGTGGAAGTTGTACAACAGAAAACTGATGTTTCGAAGGTTGTAATCGGAGGCGGGCTTGGCGCTGACGGCGGCATCCGCCCATGCCATGAGCCGTTCGTCGCGATGGCCCACGTTGGCTATGCCGTACATAAATACGGAGATGGCGCTGGCGCTGTCGTGTCGTGCCGTGTAGGAGGATGGGGGGTAAAGTACGGGAAGGGTTGTGTACGGGGACAGTGCGCAAATGCGGCGGGGTTGAGGAGGGGGAAAAGTCAAGTATGATAGTAAGATTGTGCGGCAACGATTGTGGTGGGTATTGACACGCCCAACCCCAACTCGCCCCCACTTACCGCGCTCTCACCCTCCATCGTATGCCATCTACCCCCAACTCCTCCTCAAGGTTTGTTCCATTTCTCCCTTTTCTTTCCCCATGCCTCCCCTCTCTCATCACTCCATCCACAGTCTCATACCCTTACCCCGCACCCTACCCCCCCCCCAAACACCCCCTCCGCCCCCTCAGCCTACCGCTACCGTCGTATCCACTGCGTCCCGTACCACCCACATCCGTACACATCCGTACGCCGTACCTCCAACGGGAATGGGCTGTCTCCGCCGCGTACTCGGACAGCGCCGACATCAACCGCTCGTGGCGCATCCTCAGCAACCCGCACGAGTACGCGATGCAGGACAGCTCACGCGGGCTAAACCGGCCGTGCGGCACACCCGTCATGCCCGCCTCCGCCAGCAGTGCGGCATGCTCCAACCGCGCCGCTAGCTCATCGCCCAGCACACGCAGCAGCTGCTCGGAGGACTTGTTGACACACGCGCAGGAATAGAGCAAGGCGCATAACTTGGCGTTATCGTTTTGGTGAAGTTCTTCGAGAGCTCGGGCATCCAAGGCGGAGATCAGCGGCGGCGTCGCGGCGGACAATACGGCGGCGGCGGCGGCGGCCGCCGCCGCCGCCGCGGCGGGTTGTAGATGTGCGCCGGCGCTGCCGTGCTTGGCCCGTGCCATCGCCGCCGCCTTGGCCAGCGCCCACCACACCAGCGACAGGGACTTGCTGTCGAGCTGACGTACCAACCGACAACCGTCGGCGGCAAGCAGGGTCAATAGTTCAACTGCTAACGGTCGCCACTGTGCAACAACTCCTCCGTCGTCGCTGGTGACATTGCCGGCGGCGGCGGCAGCGGCGGCATCGGTACTGCTGCTGACTGCCGCCACGGCGCCGTCTTCCATGCCGTCAGAGGAACTGCCGCCACCGCCGCCGCCGCCGCCACCTCTGCCTTTGGACCAAATCAACGAGCTCACTTCCAATGCCTCCCCCACACCTCCAAGTCCCTGGGGCTTCAGACTCGGCCACGTCTCGGTGCTTGTCTGCCCAAGAATGCCAATGCCGGTAGCCGCCGCCGCCGCCGCCGCCGCGCCTCTGTCATATAGCGACACCGCAGCGACAGCGGCCGTGGTGGTGGCGGCAGCGGCGGCGGCGTCAGACTCCGCCCACGTTCCCTGCGGCGGCTTGAGCGGCCCTGCCCAGTACTGGCATCGTGCGCACGCCCAAAGAAACTGCGACACAGCCCACCCCACCTGAACTGTAGCGGCGGCGCCGGTGGTAGCGGCGCCGCCCCGTACACGTCGTACGGCACAGACGGCGGCGGTGGCGATGGCGTCCATCATGGCTTCCTGTCGGCGACTAAAGGGTCCCAGCTCCGCGTCCCGCAAATGGCACATCTGCTCGGCGCAGGATTCGAACTCAGCATTCGGTTGCCGGAAGGCGGACACCAAATCCGATGGCACTGTGCCTAGCCTAACCCGTAACATCGGCACAAGTAGCACCGGGACGAGAACTCTACGGCTACTATATATAGTAGCACCGAGCGCGCATCTCCGACATGCTCCGATCCGCGACAAAACCGCCGCCGGCATGGAAGGGTAACGGAACTCAAGGTGAAACACACGCATACGCATACGCACACGCACCACCTTACCGCTGCCGCAGCCTCCGCCACCTTCTCCAGGCTCCAGGTCCGGGCCTCCCCAACCGACACCGCTTCTTCAAGCTGTGCTAACGTAAGGCCCCTGGTAGCTCCTGGCAGCGCATATGTGCCGCCGTCGTTGTCGTGAGGCAAGTTGTCTGACCAGGGATCTCCGCTTTGACTGCCAGAAATGCCGGTCGCCGCTGTCCCGGATTCCGCCTCCCCTGGATCCAGCGCTCCAAAAGCGTCACCCATGAAATCTGTTTCGAGATCGAAGACGCCTTCATGCGTAGCGCGCCCCACCCAGCTAGATTTTGGACCGCAAGCGGTGTCATGCTGCCTCCGATGTTGAGGGGGATGGCGTGTCTGTTGCTGGCATGGCGCGTGCCGTGGGTAAGAGGAGTCGGCAAAGTCTCCACGTGCATTTGCGGCGCGTTCGCTTGTTCGGTTGCCCAAGTTTTGTCCGTCCGCATTCCGACGAGTCCATCGCTCCTCTGCGTCGGCGAAAGATTGGGACCGCGAATATGAACCGGAGCGATAAGATCCGCTGCGATTATCGGATGCGCCATGTTCTGCGCCGCGCCCTGTTGGTCGGGAATTTCCCGAGGGCTGCCATCGGGAGGTCCATCGCTCCGTATCCATGTCAACAAGCAATTAAGCCGCGATTACCAATGTATCCGAATTTTGATTAACCTTCGTGACCGGTGTTTCAGATGGCACAGCTCTTACTATATGCCCGCCGCCATACTTTTAACTTATTCCAATCCTGAATCGTAATAATGAAATATCGCGTATAATTTAGAGTTCTCATCGGAGGTAATCTCCTTAGCCTTTAAGTAATCATCATGCGTATCCATCGTTACAGCAAGCGAAATCGGGGGGTTCCATCTACCCGCACACACTCCAAACAGACAACGAGTAACCTCTCTCCGCATCTCCGCAAGCCGGCACCACGCAGCACTCATGGAACCACAGCTGACACAACTGATGCATTGCGGAACGTGCACACCTCCTGCCTCTTAGCATGCACGACGGTCACCACAACCGTCTCCTGCGCGAAAGCTCGATTTTGCGCAACTAAGCCCGGACCACCGTACAGACACCCACAGCTTGTTGCGACGTTACATCCGAAGCCCAGTCGGTAGACTTAGGAAGGAACATAATGGGGAATCCGTTTCCAGGTTCAACAGTAGGATGGCATGATCGTGTCATATTTTAGCCACAAACACCATGCTTCCTCGCTACGTACCCTAAGCCGCGCAGCTACCGCCATATACATTTCATTACTCCCACCCTTGTCCTGCCTCCATCCATCCATCCTCCTCCAACTCACGCCCCTTCCCATACTAAAAGCCCAACAACCCCAGCTCAACGACCCGCCTCTCGCTGTCTCAGTCATCGTCACCATCGCCACCACGCGCCTTCGGCCCTCCAGCCTGCTTGGCCATGATAATCTGGTCCACCTTGAGCACCGTGCAGGCCGCCTCCGTTGCCAACTTGACGGCCCACCATTTCGTAGAGAAGAGGTCCATGATGCCGTCCGCGGTGGACAAGTCTCGTGGGGCTCCACCATCCACATCCAGACCGGCGTTGACCTGTCCAGCGGCGTGTGCCGAATAGAGCGCTGACAGGGCGTCTGTGGCGTTGAGCCCCGAGTTCTCTGCCAACGTCCTTGGCACCACCTCGAATGCCTCTGCGTACTTGGTAATGGCGTACTGCTCGAGGCCCGTCTGCTTCTTGGCAAAGTCAGCGATCTGAGGCCAAACAAAGATTTTCAGTGATGTCGCTATGTCGTCAAGAAGACAAGATGTCGTCACGCGAAAAACGCGAAAAACAGTTCCCAGGAAATAACGAACGGCAGATGAGACAAGAGAGCAAAGGGAAAAAAAGGCCACGACAAAAGCGGGCACAGTAAAACATGGGAAGGTGAAATCTATGGAGCCATCCAGGGGCCCCCCTCGCCCTTGCGCGGCACTACGGCGTCCATGCTCTTCCAGCGCCAAAACACATAACGTCATTTTTCATTGCGTGTGGTGTTGCGTATGTCTAGTTAACTGGATTAAGCCTGAAAGTCCAGTTGACTAGACACACGCAACACGGCACGCAAGCCTTTCAGGCTTAGTACGCTGGTGAGCAGCAGCGAAAATAGGTTTTTTTTTCCTAAACGGGAGCGACTTGCAAAAATGCAAGTGCTTCCTGTCAAAAATGGCCACAGCACAAACACACCTAAGGATGGTGTTAGTCAATCAGTTTGCCTGCGCAAACTGTTGTTCTACGTACATGCACCATTTAAACTATAAATAAACTGTATCTTCCTCCGCAAACACCAAAAACGTTTTTTCTGCAGGCAGACAGACTTACCAGATTTTCCCAATTGTTCTGCCGGGATTTTACCATACAATACCGATATCCATCTTTGCGGCGTCATCCGGCCTGATCTGGCCCCGTCCAGCCCCGGTCCAGCCAGCCCCCCTCAATCTCACCTGCCGTGCGAGCTCGATCTCCGGTGCTGCGCCCCCCGGCAGCATCCTTGAGTCCCGGCACAGCGCTTTGTACGTGTTGATGGCGTCGTTGACCGCCCGCTCCACATCGTCCAGGAAGCCCTCTGTGGAACCACGGAGCACGATTGTGGAGATAGAGCCTAGCGCTGCGTCCTGCTGGAGAACCAGACAGTTGGTGCCGCCAATCTCCTGCAAAAGCGGGAAAAGAAAAGGAAAAGCGAGCCCCAAAGGAGATGAAGAAGAGATTAACACAATGTGATAATAATAATAATAATACAATTTGGAGGTCTAGGTGAGGAAATACGCTGCGATAACTAAATGTTTTTCGCGTCGCAAGGGAAAAAGAGTGGGCATGCTGTGGAATGAAGTACAAGGCTTTCGCAGCTGCTGTCCTTTGCTTGCTGGTGCTTGGGACTCCCCGGCATTCCCTGCTGACCACACTCCGGGCGGCCCCCCCCAACGTGCACACCTGGACGCGCAAGCTCTTGGCAAACCCGAGCTCATCAGGCGAGGGCGCGCCAAAGGTGGCACGAGCCGTGGTGCCCGTGGCGCGGCACAGGCGCGAGAGCTCAAACTTTGACGGCATCTTGACGACCATCAACCCGTACTTTTCGCAAAAGTGGAGCGCCATCTCGCCGATCGACGAACCGCTCATCACCACACGCGCTCCGCTGCTTGCGATGCCCTTTATGTACTCCTCTAGCTTGGACTCCTCCGACCTGCACAGAAAATTGTTGTTGTAGTTGTTGTTACAGGGTGGTACAGCTTCACCAGTGACCTCCTTCCCGAGGCAATGCTGTTGTTCTTGTTGTTGTTACAGAGTGGGAGGCTTCTGGGCCAACTGAACACACAGCAAGTGACAAGGCATGCATGGTTTTGCCTTTGTAGTTTGTTTCTCCTCTCGTCTTGCCACTAGCCTGCGCTGTGTGCTTGATTAATGAAAGCTCCCCTATGGCTCTGCGAGCCTGTGTAATAATATATAATTCCTTACGGCGTGCATGTGTAATAAGATCCTTTCGGGCCCCCGCTGTTGGTGAGAACTTAACTTACATGACGCATGATTAACCCCAATAGATCATCACAGCTCCACTCCATCAAACATGTTCTCAACATGTGTATGTGTGACGACATATGTTATTATGTGGTTAAGAGGCCGGGAACGTTGTGTCACCGGGCATTTGTCGCTGACCTGGAGTTGGCATTTGGGGGCGCCACTGAGTGTTGGGCAAGCAAGGTACTAGCCTTTCTTACTAGCTTAGGAGTGGAACCCCCCACTAATACGCGCGGTAATGATCTTATATCGTACTACACCACCCTTAAATTGCCAGTCGAGAGCATTCTTAAGGTTTTTGCCAAGCGGCTTGATGCTCGGTGGGAGTGCCCGAATACCTTGGGTGACCCCCGCGTCTTCCCCATAGGAATTACCGGAGCCAAGGCGTGTCGCTATATGAACTGGATGGGAGCTGCCCCGTCAAGGGGTGCGCGTCTTGATTGGTTGGAGCACACTAAAGGGACCATGCCCCAGCGACTTCATCATGTGCTCACGCGTTTTCGGTTAGGCTGTTGGGAGTTAGAGGTTAATAGGCCTAATGGGCGTGAGCGCACCGCGCGTACCTGCAGGCTTTGTGACTGTGGAGCGGTTGAGGATGAGTTGCATGTTTTCGAAGAATGTCCCGCTTACAAGAGCATACGGGCTAAGTATGATGGTGACCTAGTCCTTACGGGGCGCAGCATGCGCACCACTATGACTGAGGCGCCACCCCTGGCATTGGCCAGGTACCTCTCGGAAATCTGGGAGGCCAGGCACGTCGCGCTGAGGCGCTTCGCCCTGAAGCGGACGAGGGAGAATGAAGATGACCTCCCGCGTACCCGCATCAATACCAATACAACGTCCATGGCCCCCCCGGCTTTTACGGACACACCCGCACTTGTGTGCGGAACTTGTAACTTGTAACTTGTATGTTATTAAACACATTTACTCGTCGTCTGCGGGTTCTTCGGTATAGTGCGAAATGGCCCAGAAAGCAGCCCGTTCCGTGTGACACTCTGTAAACATCGTTCAAACCTACTTGGAGTAATTCTCCAGCTCCTCCGCGCTCTTAATGAGCACGGTGCCCTTGGTGTCAGTGGAAGAGGTGTCCACACCTTGCGTGTACGCAGCCACCTTGGCGTCCTCCACGGCCTTTATGCTGCCCTCAGTGTCGCGCTTGAGGACCATGCCCTTGACCACGTTGCTGTCCAGCAAGGTGCCGCCCTGCCGCGTGCGAGTGCGTGTGCGCGTGCGCGTGCACGCCCCAGAACCAGTTTTTCAGAAAAGAAAATCCGGGTTAGGTAAAACCGCCTGCTTTTTGCCTTATTTTGCAGCTCTTGTTGGCACCAGGTAGGCTCAAGCTATGAGCTGCAAGGCCGACGAGCAAGCTATGAGCTACCTGCCGACAAAAGCTGGAAAAACGTCTATTGGAGCTGGTGCCACGGGATTGCCACAACACGATGGCATCCATGGAAATCTCCAAGGTTGCGAGCCTTGGTAAGGCAGGCGGGTAAGGCTCTGTGGCATCTATTCGGGAGCTGCCTTAAATGGTAAATGGTAAGGGCACTGCTGGCGAAGAAACATGGCTCCAGGAAACAGGACAACACGTACACCAGCAAGCAATGCAACCCAGAACGTTTGCTATGGTGCGCAACACCGCCACCAGCTGCCCTTCTTTCGGCGTTCGTAAAGGTTATCCGGATTCTTGAAATGACCCACCTGAATCTTGATGACCCGCACATTGTCGACATTGAAGTTGTTGGGGTTCTTGGGGCACACGTCGATGCACGCCTCCGCCACTAGACCCCCCAGCAGGTCCTCGTAGCCGTTGATTTTGCTGCTGATGGCGCCCTTGAGCCGCCGAGCGATCTGCACATTTTTCCAAGACACCCCGCGCCCCGTGACAACATACCAGTCAGACCCTCCGTTAGTACATACAGGCAAATTGACACCAACAAAACGAAAACCCAGAGTACGTTGCCTGCCCGCATGGTTGGATACTAAGGAAGAATTCGAGTTGTATACTGTCCGACCTATCGTGCAGATGCCTATGAATCCAACCAGAGGATGGCGCCATGGCATCGGGGCCAGCTGGCCAGAGTGTTAACACGCACAATGCACCCACGTGGATGTGCTCTAGCAGCCACAGTAACAAGCGCACTGACCACCGCAAATCCTAGATGCCTTGCCATGTAATTGCCCCCAAAATACCATTCAGTCGCATCCATGCACACTCGGCTATCTATCTACGGCTATCACCACCCTCATGCAAAGCTGCGCCCCACGGCCTGCCTTGCCAAGGAGACCACCCTCCCCGAAAGACCATGGCTCTCAGTCAGATAGCTCAGTGCCCTCTTCACGTTAAAGGAAGGACTTCTGTGTTGGCCATTTGTCCCTCCTCTGCGCGCTTTTAAGATTTTCGAGCCCCTAAGGATTTCATGTTCGTGGTGAGGATGCTACGTGCGCAGGGTCCTTGTCAGGAAAGTTGCGTTCGCAGTGCATGTGAGTGCGACCGTCAAGCACTTGCCGCAACCATTGCCGCAACGTCTCACCTCGGCCTTGTCGCGCACGTCCGCATCCTTGGTATCGGGCAACACCAAGGACTCGAGGACTTCAAGGCCCTACAAAAACGCACGTGAGGGTATGCATGTGCCTCAGGCCCCGAGGAAGACACGAGTGCCAACCAATCATTGGTTGCAAAATAAATTTGTAATTTTCCGGAGGGGATGTTGGGAGCGGAAAGACAAAAGACTTGCGAATGGAGCTGCTGTCTGGAGGGGTTCCAGAGCCCCAAGCGCACCACGGTTACCGTCTAGGATTAATTACCCTGTTAACTTCCTGAATTCCCCCCTTCAACGAAGAAAACACTGATTACGTCCCACCATCATCCGCGTCCAAGCACGAAATCGTGCTGGTTGCGACTATTCCAGGACGTGGTCGCGACATCACGCTATTCCCAGGCTCCCTCGTTTTTCTTTTGGTGATATCCATCCCGACCCTGCATGATGTTGCTTATGACACCACGCACAACACGCTTCCCCGTTCACGCACACTTCCCAAATAGGGTACCACGCGCTAGTCCCCGTCCCGGACATGCATGCTTCCCTATAGCGTGTATGTACCTTCTCAGACGCTCGTTGGTAGCCTTCAACCACCTCTGACGTGTGGAGGCCATCCCGCAGGAGAGATTCTGCGTTAGACAGCAGCTCTCCGCCCAAGGTCAGCACCTACAGCAAAGTAACAGCGTGAAACGAAAGGAAGTTCAGGTGGGCGACAAGCGCCGCAGAAACACAGAAGCAGGGAGCAATCCAGGGATCAATGCCAGACGGGAAGCTAAGCTGAACAGAACTTTCTTGTTCTGGGGTATGTGACGGCCAGCTGCATTCACACTGGAGCACACGTGACAACTCCGATTAAACCGCACGCTGATCCCATTCCCATTAAGAACCGGCGCACGTCCCCCGATTGTGGTCGAATAGGAAGTTCCCCAATATAACCGATCTGCAAAGCTCAAGCTGACCAGTAGCAGGGATGTGACGAAACAGCCCTAGCAGGTTTCAGCAGAGTGCAGCCATAGGGTTTGCGTAACCCCGCATGCGCCGTGCCTGATAACAGAGCATCCCCCAAGGCCCCTTCACGCACCAGGTTTGTCCCATCCCCGATCTCTGCCTCCTGTGCTTTTGCTGCCATAACAAGCAGCTTAGCAGCGGGGTGCTGCACCTCCAGCTCGCTCACTATCGTGCTCGCATCGCTCGTCACGAAAAGCTTCTCCAGGTGGTTGATAACCATCTTGTTCATGCCTGTACAATACCCAGGAAATGCTCACGTTGCAGTGCCGCCGTCACCAAAAGGCCGCGCGCCAATCTGACGACGCAAGTCCCGGAACGCCTGAGACAACAAAATCCCAACAGAATTCCATCACACCGTTTGGCCCAAGAGATGTCCGCGTGATCTGCGCCAAGCCCTTGCAGGCTTCGATGTTCTTCATAACTGCTTCCTGGAGCCCGCTGAAATGCTTATGCCCCTCTTTGAGCATGGCTTGCAGTCCGTAAGGCATTCCTGTGGCCATCTTTGCTAGCTTAACAAGAACTCTGTAGTCGGAGCTAGAGAATTAGCCGATCGGAGTGCAAACAAGTCGTTATGTAACCAGATAGCAAGTCAATCGACAAACACTTAAATACAACTAACATGCACGCTATTCGATCAGTCAAGAAGCAAAGCTTCTTTTGGCGCCAGCGACCGTCGTTGCCGTACACTTCCCAGTTTCCTTCTCGACCCCGAAGACCCCGAAAACAGGACCTACAGACCTACATGCATAAAATAAACAACGCGTTAGTGCTGAGCTATAAACATTTCGGTTGACGATGCTCTCTTTTCTGTCCCCTGGGTCCATAAGGGACCAGCTATATGTATAGCACGTCTTGGCTTACAGTGGATACCTAAAGGTATTCCATGTGAGGTTTGGGACCTATGGGCAGATAGCTTAGTTGGCCTCCATAATTCCCGGGGAATGACTCCTTCGAGGGTTGGGTTTTTATGCTTAACCTGCCTTACTCAGCCGTGCCTGCCTATCAATTGTCTCATGCGCCATTGTTGAATTAGGAGCCTTCACTTTCACCCATTGCAAACGTTGGGAGGTTGGAAAGCTGCGTTCGCTCATAATTTATACGGCAAAGCGGCGCCCCGCGCGCTGGGTTATTTGCATGTTCTCGAGATTTCCAGACATTTCCCTCCCTCCGCGGCGTACTTCATCACACCACAAAATCACGCATGTGGCAATGTGCCCAACGCAGCGACACCGGGATCCAACTACATCCCAGCCTCCCTTAGCCGCACCAACTGAAAGCCAAGAAAAATCCGAATTTCCTCCTTGCATTCCAACCCAGAGCCGACGACGCTCAGCAATGCAACAGCTCCAGCATTCTAGCTGCCAAGTGCATCCCCCTCTGCTTTGGATCAAGACGCAATTACACGTACAAGGCGGCCATTACTCGCCTCGCCTGTACTGCTGCTCTTAAGGGACTTGCGCCACCCTTTCTCTCACAATTTAAACCCTCTCAGGCTATCCGTACGCACCGCTCCCCCCCAGCAATGACGTTCACTCCTCCCTAAACCAAGAACATCGGACCATCCACGGAACCCAAAACGCCGCCATATACCGCCCCCACAGCAGGTACAATACTAGGAAAGCTCCTCTATCAATTTGGACCTCTTCGCCGCAACCCTTCGGCGCCCGTTCGCCGAGCTACGCCCTTGGCCAGCTCGCCTTAGGCCGGCCTGCCCATCCCGGGGCCCCACCACACCACCTCTTCCCCCCGCACCCTCCCCCTCAGCCACGCCCTCCTCTTCCTCCTCGTCCTCCTCCACCACCATGGGTTCGAGTCCTTGCGTGTTTGCCTTAGGCAACTCTCCATCACCATCCCCAAGATGGAAATCCTCATCGTCATCGTCATCACTGTCGTCTTCATCAATATCGTCTGCGCTACTGCTACTGCTGCTCCCGCTCCCGCCGGAATGAAGCACCCCCCCTTGACCCTCCATGGCGCGCTCCGCAGCTCGCAACGCCGCTACGTCGCGAAGCTCCAAAAGTCCACAGGCAAGATCCTGCATGCATAGCATGCAGCGGAGGAAGGGCAGGACGCATGTAATTGCAGATGTATGTCGATTAACACCGACAACGTTAAACGCCCTTCCTGCTCTGCGGTATGGCTTCGTGTAAGGCTGCCGTGCATGCCGTGGGGTTGGTAACCAGTCTAAGTTCTCACAAGGAAACCAGAACCACCCATCCGAACATGCAGAAGTGTGCGATAATGGCAATTTTAGCTAACCAGCCGAACAGTACGTTTCCCTGGGCTAGATAAGATCAATCGATGGATTCCCCGTTGACCTAGGGTTGATTGACCAGAAGGGTTTAATGAGACAGGTCGCAGTCAAAGGAGAGGTGGGGGACCAAGTGTTCGAAGGATGGTGTGCCATACACGCTTGGTTATCAGAAGCGAGCTTGTGCTTTCTCTCGAGCATGCAACCCACAGCAGTTGTAGGACTATAATGCAAAGAAAAGGTAGAGAGACTGGCATTGAGGAGTGCGTGTTTTTGAGGAAGAAAGCTGACTTGCCATTTCGATGTACGGCCCTTCCTCCCCTTCCTCTTCAATGTATTCAATGTCGAACTCAGCAGCTGGCCGGTCCTGTGGGGGGCACCAAAAGTAAAAAAAGCCCAACGAAGAAGCGGCATGCATTATAATGTATGCCGCACGTTCAAGCTGTAAAATTCATGAGCTGACGACATGCAGCAGCGCAGGGGTTGCGGGCACACCATTGTGGCACACATACATACACACATACATAAAACAAACATAAGGTGCGATGTGATAGTTCCATGGTAGATAGTTCCAGTCGATCGTCGTGCGAATGTTGACTTGGTGAAATTTTATGGCCAGGTAAGGTGTGCTACAGAGTCAAGAAACAAAGCACAGGCGTTGAAGTAAGCTCTCGACATGAGATAGAAAAGCGTGTACAATTGCATCTGGTAGATGTTTAGATGTTCCGTGTTGCACTAAAAGCTGTTGCCATACCTGCATATCTTGTTGGAGGCGGGCGTTCTCGTGCGCCATTTGCGGCAAGAAAGAGGCAAGCTTGTCTAGGACTGCAGAAGGTCAAGGTGTGGAGTCGATTTTGCAATCGACGAGATTATAAACCGCGGGAGTGGGAGCTCGTGTGATATTAGGGCATGACTGCGCTGTTGTAGCGTCCCACGGGACACAAGACAAGACAGAAACCGCTGCCAGAGCAGTAGATACAGAGGCAAGCGAACAACTTTTCCACCACATTGAATTCTGAAAAGACTTACTTACCAGCACTGCGTGGTGCCCGGCCAATTACAGGCCGTGAGCGAGTCATGTTCGCCAGCTTTTGCTCTGTTCCAGCGGGGCCGCACAAAGTGAAAATGGCGATGCAGCTCAGCCGTCATAACCCGGATCATTTCGCACCTAAAGCAGGCACCAAAGGACATTCCAGCTTCTCTCGCCGCTCAGTCTTGCCCTCCATGTGCACTGGTTCGATGGCGGCCACGCCGTCACAATCCGAAATTTTCACCTTTATATGCAATATTCTGTGGAGACAAAACCAGTTTTTAACGTCTGAAGTAGGAGTAAATGCCCTGGCTTACTCAACGACGAGTTCGGAACGTTTAGGAGCTCCGGTTATCCAAGTAGAATGGTTATGCAATACTTGAAACAAACAACTGTCCTTTATTGTGTGATAGCGTAACGGAAGTAAAGTTCGTTTGGCCTGGGGACTTTACTGTCCCTAAATGTCGTCCATGTACGGCAAGACCGTCATCGATCTATCATGGGTTTTTGGTGGGATTACCTGGGTTAAACATCATACACGTATTCCAAACTTACAAGGCTACCTTGAACTTTAGGAAGGCACGGCGACTCTGCATCCTTGCCGCTTGCATTGTTGCCACATCCTCACGACCGACACCATGCTTCGAATCAAAACAATACCAAGAAATTGCGCTATTGGAAAGCAAAGATCTCTGCTGCCATGTGCGTTTCGCGCCCGGACGGTGCACTTGGCCTCGCCGTCAACCTCCTTGCCTCGCCCATCGGCGGGCTTCACGCCTCTTGCACCGAAGCACTTTTCCCAGACGGTCGTCAGAACTGAAGCAGCTGCAAATGCTGGAGCAAGTAGCACGCCCGCGCCCGCGCCGAGCACGGGAAACAGCACATTCGTGCAGGTAAGAGTCCGGCGCTTAGCAACCCGCCATAACTTTTCCCCGCCAACGCCGCCCATACCCTCACCCAGGCCGTCTTCAACGTCGTCAACGTAATGATGGGCGTTGGTCTCCTCTCGCTGCCTTTTGCGCTTAAATCATCCGGCTGGATTGGGATATTGGTGCTCTGGGTCATGGGCATAGCCACCAACTATACAGCCAAAGCGCTCTGCGAGTGTGCTGACGCGGTCACCAAGCGGCAAGGCGCCGGCAGTGGTCCCGTGGGGTATGAGGAGATTGCCGAGGCTGCCTTCGGCCCCTTGGGTCGCCTCATCATCTCCGCCATCATCTACGTCGAACTCTTTGGCACGTGCGCGTTGCTCTTCATCCTGGAGGTGCGGGATCCGTAATGCCGTACTCTCAGGCCGGATCTTGTATACGTAAAAATGAATCATCACCAGAGTTTGAGCAAGCCGAGGACTGATTTCATCAAGGACGGATTATGGGGCATGACGGAAAGACCTGAACGGATCAGCTGCGCGAATCCGGACGGAGAGATATTTTTTATTGATAGAAATGTCATGGATTGGTCGCGGTGCAGAAGCTTTCTAATCATCTACCCGCAGTTGCCCAGTTCCCGGCACCGACATACGGAAAACGCTTAGATGTTCATACAACCCGACCCAGATCGTTGCATCCCTTTCCCCGTTACTACAACAACACGCCATTTTAACCAATCCACGTTACCTACATACCGCCAATACCGCCAATATCCATGACACCACGCATTCTTTTGTCCTCGTCGCATGACACTGCGTCGACTTTCCTTCGAACAACCGCTGACTCATGACACGTATCGTTCGTACTCAACCGTACGACGTGCTCTCTAGATACTACTACCCTGGTTCTATCCTACCTTCGTGCCCACCTTCGTCTCTACAATTCAGGGCGACAACATGTTCAAGCTATTTGGAGCCTCCAGCCTCGCGTCCAACCCCTCAACGTACATGCTGCTGGCGGCAGCCATCATGATTCCGACTGTGTGGCTGCCCGACCTGAAGGCGCTGTCCTTCCTGGGGGCTGCCGGCGTCACGGCCACGTGCACCGTCTCCGCAGCGGTGAGCTGCGCTCACCCGTGAGCTGCGGTTAGTTTGCAGCAGCTACTATAACACTTAACGGGACAGCTGCAACAACAGCAATACCAATAGCTCCAATACCAACAGCAGTTCCCGCACAGCACTAGAGCATTAGCAGCAGCAGCAGCAGCATTAGCAGCAGCAGCATTTGCATTAGCAGCAGCAGCAGCAGCAAAAATAGCAGGATTAGCATTAGAGACATCGTCGGAACAGGCCGTACTTCATTTTCATGTAGTTTTGTGCTGCCTGGTGGCCTTGGGTGTCTGTGTACTGCTCGGTCGTTGTTGATAACGGCGATCTCACGGCCCTCCGCGGCCCTTGTGTGCCATACGTTCTCGGATTGAAACCCTGAAAACCCTGAAGTCCCGGTGTTTTCCCCCCAACTTCCCCGGGTGGTGCTTCCCGCGCACCACCGCGCTCACTCCACCGTGCTACAGGTCGCCTACACGTTTCTGTCCGGCAGCTTCACGCCTGGCGCCCCCACGGACCTTGCCAACTGGGCTACCCTGCCACTGGTACTGGGCATCTGCACCTTTTGCTACAGCGGACATGGCGTGTTTCCCGCCATCCAAAAGTCCATGCAGGACCCCCGGCAGTTTCCTCAGGCGAGTTGAGATGAGAATTCAGATGACTTGTGCGGCAGGGGTTGGGGTTGGGGTTGGGGTTGGGGTTGGGGGTTGGGGTGGGGGTGGGGGTTAGGGTTAGGGTTAGGGTTGAATCTGGGCTGGGCTGGGCTGGGAACGGAAAAGGGGCGGATGTTACCCCTGTAAGAGTGATGAGTTCACGGCTCCCAGTGCCGTAAGAGCGGCCACCATCATCACGACTACCATACCACCACGTCCACCGGAGCATTATCACCGGCAACTGGCAACACAGATGCGCGATGGGGGTTGTACGACGGCGCGAGTTGGCTAGTTGTGGGGATTGGAGCCCGTAGGTCTGCTGCCTGCGCTTGTACTGGTACTTGGGGTTCTGGCGTGCTTTGAGCCGCCAGGACCTGCGCGCATGACGCAGGAGGAGCTGGTTTGGTGATGGTCTGGGGCTGCGGACGGGGACGATAATGCGACGGCGGGTTGTTTTGAAAGCATCGAGCACGGGCGTGAAGTACGTGGAGGAGCTTGGTTTGTGGGTTGGGCGTGCTGTTGATTGCACTGTTTGCACGTATGATTTCGTGCCCCACTACAAGGCATCTGCACATCAGGGCTTAAAAGTTGTGTTGAGTTGCTTTAGTGGTGGTGATACGGTGGAGGTTTATGGAGCCGCTGTGCCTCGTAAATGCCTAACTTCCGTCAAGGGTCATCATTATTATTTTTATATTTATTCTTATTATACTATATATTTTATTATTATTACTGTTGTTATTATTATCATTGTTAAGCACATGGAACACTTGAACACATGAGAGGCTCTAAACTGTGTTGTACGGCATGTTACGACAGGTGCTTAATGTGGCCTACCTCGTTGTGGCGATCCTTTGCACACTCATGGGCGCCGCCGGGTACTACATGTACGGCACCGGTGCGCTTGATCTCATCACCTTCAACCTGACAGGCGTTCTGGCGGCGGTCTGCGCTTCAGTTATCCTGGTCAACCCTATTGCAAAGTTTGCGTTGACCATGGAGCCTGTGTCCGCAGCGCTGCAGTCGGCAGTCCCGGGCGGTCAGCAGGGCCTTGTACGGCTGGTGGTGCGTACGGTACTGGCGATTGCGATCCTGGCAGCGGCGCGCTCGCTGCCGTTTCTGGCGCATCTGATGGCGCTTGTCGGGTCGTTTATGACGATCAGTGTTTCAGTTACCTTCCCGCCGCTGTGCCATCAGGTATCGGGATTATCGGATCGGTCGCCTCGTTTTGGGATGAGCGTCAAATGTTGTGTTACGTGCTCGGGTGTCACCAGTTTGCAGCAAGACAAGAAAAGCGTGTGATGTCTTTGTATGCGTGTACGGGCCTTTCCTCCGTAAGGATTCTTTGGCTTCTCCCTTGGTGCGATGTCTGTCTCATCCCTCTGCCTCTTCATGTTGCGCTCTCGTAGGTGCTGTGTGGCGACCGCAACGGGCCGCTCCGAACCGCCTGGAACTACTTCGTGGCGTTGCTGGGCCTGATCTGCACCTACTTCGGGACCACGGCCAGCATGAAGAGCCTGGCAGCAAAAGCAGCGGGAGCCGCGTAACGCAATGCAATGCGGTTGCACGATGTTTGCGTAGCACAGCGGCTTCTGTTCGGACATTGCGCGTTAGCGTACAGCAGCACTCTCACGGGGCGCACGAGCCAGAGCATGCATGCGGTGCTGTGATGATGCTGCTCTGCTTACAATTGCGCGTGCTATGCCGTAATAGTTGTGCAGGAATAAGGGGGCAGGAGAGTGCTCTCTGGCGCCTCCCAAAAGCGGGCGGGTGGGTTGTGGCCACGAATGCAGCCGAAAAGCAACCAGAGACGCAATGCGGGTGTGTAAGGGTGGGTGAGTGAGTGGGTGACTGATGAGATGGTGTTGCCAGCTGGCGGAATGGCGGAAATGCGGTCACATGTGCAAGAAGCTTTTTGGTGGTTAATTCAGTTGGCGGTTTATTTTGATGACGTCTTGAGGTGAGCCGCCAGAGGGGTGTGTATGTAAAGCACGTTTCTAACCTTGTCCCGCGGCAGCTGGGTGCCGCGTCAAAGATGAGCTCTTTAGACATTTCTGTTGCGGTAATACGCGTCGTTATGAATCCTACCTAGGGGACCACGGAGCGGGTATATATGGCACCCCTAATTCACGGCATTTTTGGTCATGCTCTACCGTTGATGGTACCATAGTACCGATGGCGGCGTCTTTTTCGATTGACGGTGTCACGTGTTGCCAGTGTGGGCCAGGGCCGTGCGTTTGGTCCATGTATCTCGGAACTGGAGAACGCGCTGGTAAGCCCAGCTTCTCCCACCTTCGTATGCACGCCACGACACAAGCGGACTAGAGAAAAGTGTCTCAAAAAACGTGTTTTTTTGCTCTCGTCGTCTTCTCTGTTAGGGCGCAAGGGCGCGTTGCTGTTGTCTGCTGCAGCGACGGCTGACAACGCTTTGCTATACCTTGCACGGCCCGTGCATAGGTTTGGTGATGGCAGGTGAGGGCAGGCCCTGGATGAATGGAAGCAAAGCTGGTCATGGTGGAGCAGCAGGGGTAGGGTGTGGCTCATCCTCCAGAAGCGTTTCCTTCCTTTCCTTGGAACCCGATGGGCCAAGTGTTTGTTTCTCGCTTCTGGGGCGGCGGCAGCAGTTCGCAAGGGCAGCGCCAGTTCGAGATTCGGTTCATTCCGCTGGCTCGAGGGGAGGGATGTTTTAAAACCCTCTTTTTTTCTGAACAACGGAATTTCGACTTTTTTGATTTTGTTCTTCATGTCTCATTCTTCATGGCCCCCACCACGGTGATGACGTGAGGTGTGGCGAGGGGCAAAGGCACGTTATATGCTTTTGGAATACATCCGATGAGTCAGCGGCAACAAACCCACTGACAATTGAGTGAGCGCTACTTTTTACCTTTTTATGAAAAGGACATGGCGCGGAGGGATGCGGTGTTTGGCGGGTACGTCACCCATTTGTTCATGTTCGTACACGTGGTGTACGTAAACGTGAGGACGTGATAGATCCGAAACGTGTGCGGGAGAAATCGACAAGGGGGTTGTCCTCTTCTCTTTCAAAAATAAGCATGGTGACATCAGATAGAACGAAAGGGACAGGCGGTGATGCAAGACTGGAAGGGACATAATGTCTTAGGGTTTTACTACACTCTCGCACCTCTGGCCAGTGGATGGGGGACACCACGTCTGGTGGCAGTTGGGTGAGAGTCGTAATGACAGCGTAAGGAGCAACAGAAATAGAGAGCTTCAACAGCCGCAATTACGACAGGTCAAGAGTTGAGCGGTGTTTCGAGGACCTTGCTGTATTGTTGTATCCACTAACTGTTTAGGTGGTGGACTCTCGCCTGGCCTTCTCGGATTTCCGGTACCGAGATTCCTCCGGTATGCGCTTCCCTGTGCTATTCGCTGCCACGCTAGCGTTCTATACGGGCTGTACAACGCTAGTCAGGCCAGCAGGAGCATCTGGAGCACATTGGTGCTGATTGGTGCGGCGCTGTCCCCTGTGCACTGAGGAGGCGCCGCATTATGGCTTCACATTGCCTTGTGGCGATATCTCAGATTAACAGACATGTCATCACGACGGTAGTTTCCTTTTGTGTTTGGGCAAATTTGAGCCCTTGGGAGCATGATTTCCTATACAGTGGCAGTTGTTCCCACGCCCGGGATGACTGGTAATAGGAAGGATTAGTTCTCAGCATATGATTCACTACATTTTGCTTCACACAAGCATCTGTATTGGTTGTGGCTACAGCCTTTGCGGGACCGGACGGCTGGGTGAAAATGCCGGACGTTCTGTTTTTGAAACTCTCAAGCAAAGCAAGCTGGACGCAAACCATCTCTCACGGGCTGAACCTTGCATAATCTTAATGAAGGGTGGCAAATCAGGTAGGAAGTTTACATCGTCAATCGCCAGTTGACCTTCAGCCGTGTAAGTCACCAATTGCAAGAACGCACAATGTTTTAAGACACCTTGCATTCTTGACTTTTGATATGACAAGAGGGATACCTTGTAACCACATATTCATTCGACGTGAAGAACTGCGGATCGAATGGAAATCTACATATGCGAGTCGTACGGTCTCGAAGCTGCTGAACATGGACCGCCAAATCTCCCCATGCACAGAACCTTGTTGACAGAGCCTTTGTCATCCGCTCTCTATTAGGTTTGCTTGGGCACCCTTAAGTGTCCGAGCGATAGCCTTATTGCATACTGATTCGGGATAGGCGATAACTGTTTTAAGATGCAATGAACAAGGGCCTGCTCGTGCCCAAGGAAGTAAATGTCACTTGCCGAAGGCACGATGTAGCCCAACACCTTAGCGGGCCTGCGGCGCGTCGTCGCTGCTTTGCGCGCTCGCGGTATGGCTTTTATCCATGGGAACATATTGATAAATGCAGTCATGCTAGCCGGCTTGCGACGTTACCTACGCGGCCAGCAGCGGGCAGCCGAGGTTTTGACGAGGCGCGATGGCTGCCCGGACAGCGCTTCGTGCCACAATGTTCCAGCTCCCACAACACGGCGGAGGAAATGATGCAGTCCGCCAACCAAATACTGCACCAGCTGGAGGCCGCAGGTGCAGCAACGCACGCAGCTCAGCACGCTGGCAACAATGGCAGCATCGTCAGCGGATACGCGAGCTCCACAGGTAGCATGTCCTCCACTTATAACAACAATAGCAGCAGCAGCAAGGACAGTCGAGATAGCAGGGACAGCAGGGACGGCGGCGATAGCTTGTCGTCCATGGATGAGTACAGCAGTAGCACGCTGGACTTCTCAGACTTGGCAAACGAGGACGCCGTCGCGGACGCGGCCAAAGGCGAGGGCATTGCGGGAGCTTACGGCAAAGCAAACTACGAGGCAAGTCGCGCACCTAACGGGCTCGGCCATGCGGTCTACCGACCCATCATCCTCCCGGGGCTGCACACGGGCACAGCACAACACAGCACATCGCATCCGCACGTTCATCAATCTCGTCACGTCTCGAGCAAAGCATTTGTGTTTGCTTGACTTCTTCGTAAACTCCCCTCCGGGAGTACAGTTTATGAAAGTACCTTTCTCTCTGGGGAAAAGGATTTCATGCTGTTCGTGGAACGTTGCCACGAGTCACTCGCCCTGCGTGGGTGGAGGATTTAAGGGTTTAGGGTTTTGATAAGGGTGGAGTAGAGGGTGGAGGGTTGTACGGCAACAGGGGGTACCAGGTTGTACAGCAGCAGAGGTGGCAGTACAGGGGGGCGGCTGGCTGGGTGTGAGCGTGTGAGCGTGTGTGTAGGGGGGGCCCCTTGGGGGAGAGAACACGCGGTAAAGATGGGCACGGTGTATGGTGAGGGGGTTCCGTGGACAGGGCCACGCGCCTCGCCTCTGTGCGTGAGGGGGGCAAGGCGGGCATGCGTGAGGGAAGGGGGGAGGAGTGGATGTTGGCGGGGATTGGGAGAGGAAAGAGAGCAGGAGGTGGAAAATGGAAAGCTGCTGCTGCTGCTGCAGCAGCAGCAACAGTGACCGACATCGTACACACATACACAATTCCACAGGGAAGGAAACCCCCACATGCTCAGCGGTGAATGTGAGATGGGCCCCGTCAGGCGTTTTCCGTTAGACCGTTAGGCGGCAGTTAGGGCGGTTAGGTATCGTCATTACCCACCATCTACTCCGCGCGCCACATTCCCTCCAACTGTCCTGTCCCCCCATCCCTTCTTTCCTTCCTCTCCTCCTGCTCTTCTTCCTCCTCCTCTTCCTCCACCTCCTGCCCTGCTAAGGTTTTGCGTCTGGACGCGACAGCTCGCGCCCGTCGGTTTTTCGTTCGACGTCGGGATCTGCTTCGCGAGCACCGCCTGCAGCCCCGGGACCTGCGGCGCATTGACCCCTCCATCGACTTCACGAAGACCTCCCCCTCCATCACCATTAAGGAGGACGTGTTGCTGCTCAACTTGGGCGGTGTCAGGTGGGCGGGGGGGTGGCAGGAGGGGGAGAGCGAGGTGGGTGCGGGATGGGGGTTGGCTGGGGCGGGGCTACTTGTGCACACTGGCCCTAGATACATACATACATACATACATACATATGTACGTACATACGTACGTACGTACATACATACATACATACATACATACATACATACATATGTACGTACATACATACGTACGTACATACATACATACATACATATTCCGCCTCCCTGGTTCATCACCATGCCCACCATAACCATCGCCCTCAGGGCTATTGTGACGGCGGAGAAGGCGCTGCTGTTCGAGCCCAACTCGGCCACCACTCGAAAGTTCTTAGAGGTGGTGTTACCGCGGCTCCAGACCCACGGCCAAGCCCGGCAGCAGGCACTCATGCGGGGGCCCCCGTCCGCCTACGTGAACGTGTCGCACGCGGACTACATGGCACGGTTTTACTACCAGGTATTTTGCGCGTTTCGCGTGTTTTGATGTACACACGGTGTAGATCAAAACTTCATGCCGTACAGGTACACTGCAATTCCGCGGGGGGGAGTTGAGAAGACGGGGTGCGTCCAGAGGGGGGGAAGAAAACTCATTTCCCCCCTTTTTCCCCCCTCCGGGGAATCTATGGGAGTATCCGAACATGGTATTTTCTTTTCATCAATACGGTGTATGTAAATGTGTGTTTTCCGCAACATGCACTGCCTCGCCGTGTGTCCCCTCCGAGCGCGACCCAGCGCACACCTTACGCTTGCACGCATGTACACGCCTACACACTTAAACACGTACATGCATACATACATACATGCATACATACATACATACGTACACGCAGGGCAAGTTTGACTCGTCCAGCCGCACACCGCCTTTCGAGCTGGAGGTCCTCGAGGGCGCACTGATGGTGGCCGTGGGTCGCCTGGACGCGGAGATGAGCGGCGTCACGGACCGCGTGTCGGCGCTGCTGACTAAGCTGCCGGGTGACATCACGCCGGTGAACCTGGAGGAGTTGCGGCGTGTGAAGCAGGCGCTGGTGGAGCTGGAGGACAAGGCGGACACGTTGAGGTGGGGGGTTGTGGGGGGGAGTGGGTGTGGGGGAGTGGGGGGGCTGGGGGGGTTGGGGGTGGGGTATTGGGGGAGTGGGGGAGTGGGGAATGGGGGCCTGGGGGGGAACGTCTTGTGGTCTTTTGTAGTTTACTTGAATTATCGTCTGCTGGAACCTCACTCTGTTGACGATGGTGGGGGAGGGGGTGATCGTAGGGAGATGCTGGAGGAGCTGATGGACGACGAGGACGAGCTGAGGGAGCTCAATCTGAGCAGCCGCCCTCGGAGAGAGGACCGCCGGCGGCAGCGGGAGCGCAACCGCCTGGAGCGGGAGGTGGAGCGAGCCAGGGAGATCAAGGAGGAGCTGGAGGAGCGGGCGTTGGATGACGGACAGCCGATCACGGCGGCGCTGCCGATGCCGCCAATGCCAATGTCAATGCCACCAGCAACGCCGCCGTTGACGTCGACGGCGGCGGCGGCGGCGGCTTCGCCGCCGGGGACTGGTGCCGACGGCGGCAGCGTCACGCTGTACGGCCCGTACGGCCCGGTAGGGCCGCCACCGTCGGCATTGTCTCCTGGGGCGGCGAAGCTGAATGGTTATGTTTCGCCGCCGGGTTTGAACGGGAGTGGCAGCGGCGGCGGCGGCTATTATCCACACATTCCCGGTGTGAGCGGCGTGGCTGTCGTACGCGGGCCGGGTGGGGTGTATTCGCCTGGCGGCTTGGCGCCGCCGCCGCCACCGGCGCCGCTGCCATCGTCGGCTGTTGGCGGCGGAAATGGCGTAGTGGCGTACCCCCCGATGCAAGGGGGCCCGTACCTTGGCGAGTCAGCGGCGGCGGCAGCGGGACGCCGGGAGCCTACGACGGCGCGGCAGGAGCGCCTGAGGGAGCTCCGTACAAAGTACGACAGAGAGCGGTTGAGAGAGCTTCGCGCGCGATTTGGCTGGGTGCGCGAGGGTCGCGACGACAGCGGCGCCGCCGCCGGCAGCCTGGGCTCCAGCGGTGTTGCAGCCGCCGCCGCCGCCGGTACGGCAACGGCAGCCGGCGTGCGAAAGGAAGAACGAGAGCGGGATCGCCGCAAAGAACTTATCGAAGAAGCTGACTTTATGAGGTACGGGCGTCGTACTCGATCCAATTTCAAGCACTTGATATCTCTCTCTCTCTCTCTCCAGATTTGTTGCAGATAGTTTCGGCAATCTAATCACTGAATCCTCCCCCGTTACGTAACCATTTGAACCCCTTCCTCCCCTCCTCCCCCACAACACATACATAACATACATACGCGCGTACTTACATACATACAGCCGGCTAGGTGACAGCGAAGAGGACCTCCAGGAGGCTCAGGATGCGTTAGAGGAGATGGTGGAGGAGGAGGAGGAGGAGGCCGAGCTCGAGGAGGTGGAGGACCTGTTGGAATTCTACTTGCAGAGGGCGAGTGGGTTGCAGGTAGGTGGGTGTGTGAGTGTGTGTGTGGGGGGGTTTGGGGGTGGGGGTGTGTATGTGTGTGTGGGTGTGGGTGTGTGAGTGTGAACATGTCGATGTTGATGTAGTATGGGAGAAGAGAATGGTCCCGACCTTTCTGTCCACACACCCACGTACCCACATACACCCATACACCCGTTATGCCCAGTTGGCAATGGTCTGCTGCATACTGTGACTTTTTGTGACTTCCATGTATGTATGTATGTGCTTATTTTCTTCTTCCTCGCGGACCATCAGTTCAATCGGCCAAACCACTATTCACACCCCGACTTTAACTGTTACCGCAGTCCGAGGCGGAGCGCATGTTGGCCGGTGCTCGCGATCTGGAGGAATCGATCGGGGTATCTCTCAGCGCCCGTCGCTACGAAGTCAACCGACTGGAGCTGATGCTGTCTATCGGCTCTTTCGCTGCCGCAGTGGGCGCCATGCTGGCCGGCATCTTTGGCATGAACATGAGGTCGAACTTGGAGCAGAGCGCTGTGTCGTTTTGGGGCGTCACAGCTGCGATCGTGCTGGGGTGTGCCTGGATCTTCTTTGCGGTCATGAGATACACGCGGAGCAAACGCATCCTTTAAATTACCACCGCACAAGCTTCTGTGTGTTTCTCTCGTCCCCTCCTCCTCTCCTTTTCATCAGCATCAGCATCGTCATCTCCATCACTTCTTCTTTCTTCAAAAAACTCTTTTGTTTTCGCCTCCCCTGCTTTGGAAGAATATATGACTGGTTTATGGAGTGGGGAGGTGGTGGGGGGGAAAAATGGGGCGCGTTGATGTACGGCTGTGTTTTCCAACGTGGCGACGGAGCGCGTACGGCAGTACTGCAGTATTTATGGAAATGAGTTGCTGTCGTGGGGGAAGGAAAACGATGATGAAAAGTTGACAACTGCGGTACAACGTAGGGTTGTGCGTGTGTGTTTTGCTTGTGCACGTGCACGAGCAGAAAGCGAAGTGACGCAGCTTGACAGGTGGTCATGTCCTGTCATTTTTGCATGCCGTGCATATGTATGTATGTGTGTATGTATGTGTGTATGTGTGTATGTATGTATGTATGTATGTATGTATGGGGGTGACACTCAATGTTTCCTGCAGCGCCTTTCCAATGACCGGAGAGGGTTTTTTAAAGGAGGTTTAGGGAGGTTTTATTTTCTGGGCTGGTTAGGGGTTTTAGTGGTTTTTGGGTTTTAGAGTTTTTCTTGTAGGTTTTACGGCAGCGTGGATGATGATTATTGGTGTCGGGTCGTGTACGGCACCAGGAGGTACGGCACCGCATCCGTTGTGGGATGACGGATGAAGGGACAGCGGGCAGTGGTTCGAAGTTAGGGTTTGCGGAAGAAGATGGAGACGGCGACGCCGGCACCGCCGGACAAGGGGAGGAGGAGTTCGGAAAGGATGAGGAGGAGGAGCAGGATGAGGAGGAGGACATGCAATGGTCTTGGACTTTGACGTTGCTGCTGCTGCAGCAGCTGCTGTTGCTCTTGATGCTGCTGGTCTCAAACCGATCGTACCTCCGCCATATCGTTTTGATTTGTACCATATCTCAAGCCTGGAGATCTGATTGCTGTCTGTCCTCCCCGGCTGCTCGTACACATGCACTGCCGTACCGCGGCAGTACACTTGTATTGGACCGCTGTTAGAGAAGCGGTGGTTGTACGGCTGCTGGACCCCTGACCCCAAATCGGCGCAAGAGGGCCCAGGAGGGGACATACGACGAAACACAGTGTGTGTGTTTGGGGGGGGGGGCCTTCCCGCGGCCATTACCACGGAGTCATGGGGCAAACGTGAGTGTACTGCCGTGTACAGCCTTCGGCGCGCCCTGGGGTCGTCTAGTCACGTAGGGCTGTACGGCACGGGAATGTGACGGTACACGGTATTGGGTTGTACGAATGAACGTCCACTTCACCCCGCCACCCGCCCGTGGAAAGGGGGGGATGCGGGATGGGTTTGGTTGTACGGCGTTGGTTTTAGGTATTGAAGGTGATGGCGCGGCCTGTAGTGTTTATTGTGTTGGGTGTTGGTGTTGTTGGGAGTGGTCGTGAGAGTGGTGGTGGGAGTGGTGGTGGGTGCGGGTGTGGTCGTTACGCGCGCGTTGCGACGGCGGCGGTGGCCGCGGCGAGAGAGCCAAGGTTTTCTGGAAGTGGCGGCTTTCCTGTTCAGGCCGCGAACTGGTTCGTCCTGACGTCCATCCGTACACACCGTACTGGTGCACGTTATGGTAGGAGTAGACTCTTAGATTGCAGGCTTTTTTCCCTTAACACGCCTTTCGCTGTGTCTGTCTCATTAGTGTCTTTGTTTTAAGTGCGGCGAGCCGGGAAAAACTTTGAGAAACTTTTTTTATCGTTTTCGAATATGTCGACTGGCATGTCGAAGTTTTGTTTTGTGGAGGCCACCAGGCCCACTAGAATTGATTTTTAATAGTCGCAAAGAAGTTTTATCGAGATCTTATCAGTCAGTCAAAATCTTATTACAGTCCAAAAGCTCATGTTGGAAGGTTTGCCACCAAAATGGCCGCTAGCGGGTAGGATACTGTGAAGCTCCGTGTTAAGGGAAGGGGAGTACTGAAGGGGCGGGACTGCCCCGCAATTTGCGGCGGCGGCGGCCTCAAGGGTAGTGCAAAATCCTTTGTGAAAAAATGGTTCACCAACAAGACATCAGGTATCGTACTGCCGTACCGTATCGTAAAATCGTACATGTGCTCGTTGCGGTATCGAGGGATGTTGGTGAGCAGTGCTGAGCTGGTTATGCTTGCGATGTAATGACTAAGGTGATGTAAACGTTTTGATGTTGGTGATGAAATTTAAGTTAAGAACACTGGGGGAATTTGCATTAAGATGGTATCATATTAATCAGAGAGTGCATGAATGAGGAGGTGCATGACACGCGCAAATTCTGGATTCTGGGGATCTGTTGGATCTTGGATTCTGGATTTTTATGGTGCAGTGTGCGGCAGCAGTGCTCTGCAGAGGTGCAGTATTGCAGTTGATACAACATAGCAGTAGCAACAGTGTGGGGTTTGTGTTTGTGTGCGTCATCATGACATAGGCACACATACTTGTATACTTGTACACTCACACATACATACATGCAAACACACATACACGAACATTTTCTCTCTCTATTACCAACACATACACACATACATACACAGGGGGCCCGCTGGTGAAGCTATACCACCCTGTAACAACACCATACACACAAAAAAGACGGCGGTGCCTGCCGCGTATGTCTTGTGAAGGTATGATTGCGATTGCCCTCTTGGCTGTATGTATGTCGCGGAGCTCTTATCTGCTCTTTGGGTATCTCTGGGTTTTAGTGCTTCTCTGGGTTCTGGGCAGGGAAATGAACAGGCCCCCGGGTCAAAAGGGCTCAAGTCAATAAGAGAGGCACTCCTAGTATTGTGTGTGTGTGACTATGTCTGTGTATGTGTGTGAAGGTCAAATATCGATCCGGGCCTGAAGCTTACCAGGGGCTGCGGCGCCTGTGTGTATAAGAACGTTTTGAACAACGTCCCGGGGTGGGCGTGTAAACTTTTTTCCCTGGCCAGCGCCGAGAAGGATCGAGTTTATCAAAACCGGAAATTGATTGCGTGTCTGCGCCGATGATGCTATAATGCATCGGCGAGGTAATAATTCTCCAACACACCGCGCCATCCGCATATCCGCAAACGGGGGAGGTGGTAAATAATAATTCCAAGGTCTTCTTCTTTCCGAAAACCTCTTTTCTCCGCTCCCTCCCGCAACCTCTCTACATTTTTTCCCGCTGCCTCTTTTCTCCGCGACCGCAAAGCGATCAAAGTACCTTTACCTAGTCAAACCAACCAAATCCATCTGCAGCCTCCATCGGCTCCACGGTCCTCCAAGCTGCAACACCCTCTCGCCATTTCTTAACCCCTTCTTCTCTCCCCCATCTCGGTAGCTGTCGTCATCCATTCAAATCCATTCCCTGCTGCCGGCCGGCCGCCAGTTCGCTCAGCTTCGATATCCGCCCGTTCGCCGTCTTCTTCTGGCCTATATCTCTGGTTTTGCATGACGGTTGACGATTGACAGTTGTCGTTTGACGCCCCTACAACGGCTGAAACCCTTAACACCTATTTCTACTTACAACCACCATCTATACCGCCACCACCAGCAGCACCACCACGACCAGCAGCACCAAGGAGCAATGACGCAAGGGCTGTGTGCGCTATCGACCTCCTGGCCAGTAGGAGGAGAGGGCGAGGGAGGAGGAGAAGGAACAACACACACACACACATGTTCGAACCACGCAGCTACCGGGGGAATTAATTCGACCCATGCACGGCCCCCACCCCACCCATATTAGCAACGAGGCTAGGCAGCCCGCTGGTACGCGGCGATATGGCTATCTGCAGGCTACAGGCTTACAGCTACCTCCACAAGGTTACCGCCGTCACCGCCGCCGTCACCACTGCAGCAGCAGCAGCAACAACCACAACAACAGCAGGTGGTGGTGGTACTGGGGCAACGGCTGGAGTTGGTTAACAGAACACAGACTTCGGCCCCTACCCATATGCAGGAGACCGGCATTCCGTCCCCTCTTTCCCCCCAACCCCAACCCTGCAGTTCACTAACAACCATTTCCCCCAGCACACCTACACACACACGCATACACGCGCGAGCACATGGGGCAGCTATGTTCTCCTGCAGCAGGAATGCCAGGCAAGCCCTAATTAGGCACGGGGTCCGGGCCCATCACCGCCTCCCCCATTGTTCATGTCTGTGCCCCTGCACGTGCACCGTGTAAAATTCCGTACAACAACATCAACCTGCTGCCGCAGCACCGCAAGAAGCGCCGCACACACAACAATCCAGTCGCCCTGGCAGGTGAGCTCCTGTTTAGGCCCCCAGCCGCTCCTCTGCAGCGTTACCTAGTTACTAAGCTCTATCCAGCAACCCTTTACTCCTCACTCCGAGCTGCCTACTGCCGACACCACCTCCAGCACCACCACCAGCACCACCTAGGTTGCATGTCTTGGGTGAACATGTCTTTGATGATACCTTAGTTCAGGCTTGGCATCTGCATTGCAAAAAAAACATCAACATCACCATCACCATCATCATCAACGATAATTATACAGCGGGTTGTCAGCGGAAACGCACTGAAGGGTGGTAAAGACAACTAAATGGGGAGGGGGACAGTCCACATCTGGTACGACTATGTTAGCCGCGCCACAGCATACCCCACCACAGCATACCCCACAGCACATCAGCGTAAGGCCAGGAGGTTCCTTTAAGATCCCGGGTCAGGCCGCCAAGGGGGAGGGAAACCCACAGGAAACCCCCGCCCCTCTCTGATGCCGTACGCTGCCTAATGGACTGTCCCGTCCGGACACGAACACACAGATGGGGTTATGAAGCAAGTGCTCGCCACTTCTGCAATGTGCGTGCTTTTCTGTCCTAGTCAAATGCAGCCAGTCTTAGTCCTAGTCCTAGTTTAAATATGCTATAAAGTTTAAATATGCTATAACGTAAGCATTAGTCAGTACTTTTTTTATCTAATTCGAATTTGTTGTGGGTTTTTTCTCCGCGACCATAGTCTTCCCTTCGTAGTACGGACTCCCTTCTCCGTACTTCCGTACATGTTTCCGTACCCAAGCCTATCAGAAAGCTTTGTAGTGATCGTCCTTGAGAGCTTTAGTGGCTTCGCATCTTTAAATCGTGTTTGGGTAGTGGCATCGTTTCGGAAAGGTGAGGACCATGCAGCTGCGCCACGACGTTCTTCTCAGCTGAAGAAGCCTCTTCTTTTCCCGCTTCCCAGCCACCATACAAATCTATGAGTAGAGACCGCAGGAAAACGAAAGAATATAATATTTGTTTGAAATTATGATATAAAAAGGATCTAATATTTTGTACATAAAATCCGCATCCAATCACATCCGCACCCTTTCATAAGAATGTTCGGTCAGCGGTATCCTCGTTCTCCCCCCCATGTAGCTTTGGAGCCACCCAGAAAGAGAAACCAAACCCACCAGAACCCCCCCCAATACCCCTCTTCGCCTATTTCTACTTTCATCCAGCCAGCCCCCCACCCAGCTACCCACCCAGCTACCCAGCCAGCCACTCAACCAATCAATTAACGGAGGGAGCGCAGCGCAGGAGGACACGTTTCACTAAGTCCGTACCTTCCACAAACGTACCTTCCACAAACCGTCGTTGAGATGATGCAAGTTGTCCACCCCGATGCCCTTGTTGACCGCCCGGATATCCGCAGTGGACATCTGCAGCACCCCGACCGCCATGGCGTGCTCCTTCCCGCAGGCGTAGATGGCCACCGGCGTGCCCACATCGCCCTGGTGGGAAAGAGAGGAGGCGGAGGCGGAGGCGGAGGGGGGAGAAGGTCAGGGGGGAGGAAAAGAAGGGAAGAAGGGAGAGAGAGAGAAAGTCGGTCGAGAGGGAGGGAGAGAGAGAGAAAAAAACGGATCGCTCCCCAGATTTTTCTTTTCCCTTCGCTCCCCAGCGAAACCTCTTCCCTAACCCCCTGTTGGGGGCTCCCGTCGCCACCCACAAGGGCAGTAGACGGGGGTTGTAGGAGGACTCCATGAGTTTATGCGTTATGTGTCTGTAACAACAACATGATGCCCACAGGTGAGCCGTGCACCTAAACCCGTGCACCTAAACCCGAATAGCGTAACCAGGAGCCGCAAACCCAAAACCCTGAGAGATAAACCCTATATCAATAATGATGTAGATAGAAAATCGCCCTCCTCCCCAGGGGCGGCCCCCTCTCCCCTTTTTCTCGTCTCGCACCTCATCGTGAATTGTGGCGTCGGGGTGAGTCAATCCCGGGCACATTATGTTGGCCCCGCTGAGCACGAACTTTATGGCCCCCTTGTCCGTGCGCAGTCGCTTCATCATCGCCGGATATTGGTGGAGTACTCGGAGTGTGGGCAGCCAGGGCCCGTCGCGTTCCTGGAAGAACAGGATGTTGCCGTTGATGACGCAGAGCTGGACATGGCCGCTGGAATGGTGGAAGGGTGAGAGGGGAAGAGAGGGAGAGGGATAAGAGATGGAGAGAGAGGGATGGAGACGGGAATTAGGCCGACGTGGGGGGGGAGGAATTCAATGCACAAGGATACAAGGAAAACAAATGCCGACGTGAAAAGTTTTTTTGCCGACGTCCAAAGATGCAGATTGCTGCTGGTGGGGATGGGGGTAGGGGGATGGGGAGGTTACGAAGGGGGAATGGGAACAGGCCCGAAAAAGGAGAGGAACAGAGGCGGGTGGAGGGGGAGGTAGCGAATGAGCGGAGGGCGCCACAACAATGAGTCATTAGGCCGTAGGGTGAAGGAAGAAAGATACAGGAGGAAGGGGCCAGTTATGGAAGCGGAATGGGAAACGGAGGAATACAGGTAGGGGCGGCAGGTAAAGAGGGAAGACGACAGGAGATTAAGGGAGAGGTCAGTGAAGCGGCTGTTGCTTGTGGGTGGGTAGACAAGGTTGTGCTGCCAACCCGCGTTTGCCATCCTTGCGGCAAGGTGTGCTGCAAGCCCGCAAGCTCGCCGTAAGCTCGCGGGAGTCAGCCGAGGGTTCCGGTGACGAAAGTTCTTGCTAGAATTACTCACCATTTACCCAGGTATACCGATTCCTTTTTAGGTATAAGCGTTTCAATTACGTCTGTTTGCTCCAGATAGGGGTACGTCTCGCAAACGGCGGCTGTTTGTCCAAACACGGAGCACGAGGACGTCTCAGAAATCAATTACTGTGGAATGTGTCGTGACTGGTGGCAACTTGCATATTGCTGCCTATGTGCGCACGATCTGGTTCGTGTGGGTACACGCCTACCTCGTATGCCTCGTGCCACTGAAGATTTTACTTGGCTAAGATTTGAAACGTCTTCTCTGCTAAACTTCTTGAAAAGCGCCATTTACAAAAAATTGCCGAGCCAGTCTGAGAGCAAGACCGTGGCAAAGCAAATAAAGAAACAGCGTAAATGTTCGATGTGGTATCCTATCGAAAACTCCAAACTTCATGAAGCAAACCCGCATGTAAATCACTTCGGTTTCTCGATGTCGAATACGGTATCGTCGGTTCGAAATTAACGGTCGCGCCATTGTCATCAGAGCTTGCGCATGCATGCGTGTCCTACAATATGGTAGCTGGAATGACGACTTTCATATCGAATTTCCCTTCGGAGGCAAAACTCCGGTTAGGGGTGGCGGCGCTTGTGCCGCGACATAAAAATGTAGTAAGACGCGACACAATACCTGCTGCTCTAGCAGATGACAACTCATCCCATGCTCGTGTCCTAAAGCCCCGTACTTCCAAAAAGGCACCAGCCCCATCTCAACCGCTACAAGAAGCCGACCCTCTCTCGCCTCATCACGGTGCACAGCGCAAGGACGGCGACCGCAGGAGTAATGGGGCCAAACAACATGTACAGAACGATAATCCTCGCATTGAACGCGGTAGCACCGACGCCCTCCTCAACCGTGATCGTGTTCGTGACCGGGAGCGGGATGGCCATGGAGACCTGGGCGATGCGAAGGAATTTCCCCGACGACGCAATCTTGACCGCGATGGACCCCACGAACGCTCACCCTCCAAGGACAAAGGCCAGCGCCATAGCCAAAAGCAGTTCTTTGACCAGAGTCAAAGGTGTGTTTTTTGCGTTTTGCCATGCTTTGCTGGGCCGCGTAGCACACGGTGCCGAGCTGGACATCCGAGCCCTCTACGAACAAACATGTACACAGACAAAAAAAATTAATATTACCTCACGTTCTTCCCCGGGAAGCGGTCCCTCTGCTTCCTAACCCTGGTTGTGTGGGGGGCCGTGCACCGGCAGCGCCCTGCCGGTGCGGGGGTCTTAGATCTTCGGGCATAAGATCCATTCGACTTCAAATTGACTCCCCAAAACCCAAATCGCTGTGTGCTAATTGCGCTGCAAAAGTGCCCCAAACTGCAGTTTGGTGTTTTTTGCAGCAACTCCCCCCCGGCACACACGCGACTCCTTCGCAGTTGTTGTCCCGCGCCTGATGCCGACTGTTTGTGAGCGACAAAACTGGCTGGGATAACTTGCTGGGATTTTGGACCTCCAAAAGTGGCAATGTCCGCCCCCCTCCCGCGGGGTGGGGGGAGAGGGGGGGGTGGTAAACGTATTGGGGCTTAATTTCCGGCACCACGGGTCGATTACTTCATCACTTTTAGGACTACTACTACTACTAGGGCCAGTTTCGAACTTTGGACGCCTTCCGGCAGTCGGGCGGCAGTTCACTTCTGAGTTTTTATCGCATCATGTGATTTCCCCCTCCCTCCATTTGACCCTCTATTTCTTGCAAAAACAATCCTACTTGTTACTTGAATTTTCCCCTTCCCCCTTTTGGATCCTAAATCCATTGGACAACGACATACGCTGGCTGAGCCTGCAGCCGAGCTCGAGGCCCACCCGATCCCCAGGTGGTACCTCAGCCCCCGACACATGTAGACAGGAAGATGGCCCGCTCCCCTCGCTACCTTGCCGTACAGCAGGTGGGTTATCCCACCCACCCGTCAGGTGGTTATGCAAAAATGAACCTCGTTGGGTTTTTGGATCCGGATCGGGTGATGTACTTGATGTGGGTCGGGCTTGCGATTGAGTATATGTCAGTATTGAAAATTGTCACATTGAGGGATTGGCCGGCGGGGGGCCCCCCGGGGGGGGAGGTCCGGGGGGAAGGAGGGCCGGAGGGAGGGGAGCGAGGCAGGGAGGAGCCCCTACCGCCGCGGGATCGTCGCGGACTGTCCGATGACGTCATAGTAGTACACTTTCAAAGGAGGAACACCCTTCCTTCTTTGCCGCCTATTTAGTAAAATTTTACACCTCACCTCTGCGGCTTCCGTTGTCCCTTTCTCCTTATTTTCTGCTTTCACAAGGCTTTCCTTTCTTTCACCTAGGCGGCTAGGTAGTTCTTCTGCTGCTGCGTTTTTCGCCTTCTGCTGCCTTCTTCTTTGCGCTTCTGGACTTGCCAGCTAGTCCGTCATTCGTCTCGCGCAACCCAAGCTATGACGCCACGTCGTCGCCAAGGTTACGCAGGATGCCATCACTCTCGGCAGTGAACTTCTCCTTTCTCCTCAGCAGCATTTATAACCTCTCCTGAACCACCCGCCTATCTTTGGCACATCTGCTCCATCCGGCAGTGGTTGGTTCCCCTAGCCCCCTTGATGATGGTGGTGTTGGCTGGCTGGGCGGCCGGGAGGAGGGGATCACCTGTGTGGGCCAGAGCGCGCTGTGGCTAGAGGGCCTCGGGGTTGGGGGCGGAACGGTTCGAGAGATATTGTCAAAATCCGATCCGATCTGGGTCAGGTGCTATTTGATTTGATTTGGGTCAGACGGTGCTGCTTTGCCGTACAGTAATAACATCACGTGCCACGGGCCTTCCCGTACACCCAATCCCCGTACACCCAATCCTCCATCCGGCAATAATTAACCTTTTATTAAATATCGACACGTGCATACACACATACATACACCCGCACACACGTACACAAATCAGTTGGTACGAGTGGAGGAGGAGGGCGCTTACGTGGGTCTTGTGAACGGCTCGCCAACGGCAGCAGCAGCAGCAGCAGTAGCAGGCGGCGCCGCGCATGAAGACGACGACGGCAGTGATGACGGCGGTGATGACGGCGGTGACACCTCGGTGCCGAGGCCCCGGGGGAAAAAGGGCAGCGGCGGCGGCCCGGTCTTGGATCCCAGGTGCGCTAGAGGGTGTATGGGGTGGGGTGGGGTGCGGGGTGGGGCTTGTTTTTCCAATCTGCCCTTCACCTCACTTCACCTCACTTCTCCGCGGCCCGCTGTCTGTCCACTGCCGTAGTGCTCGTCCTCTCTCTCTCGCCCGTTTCCCTTCCCCTTTCCATTCCTCATGTCGGCAGTTTTTTTTACCAATTGCCATTTATATAAAATTTATGTATACAAATAAAATATAAATAGGCATAAAGTATCATAAATTTTTTAATAAGAAATATTTTTTCTTACAAAGAAATATTTACAAAGAAATATTTTTTCTTACAAAGAAATTTTTGTGTAGATATATTATATATACATTTATTTATTACTAATACTTTTTTCATGTTATATTTATAACTCTCCCTTCCCCGTTTTCACTTTTTCCCCCCAACCCCACCCCCGCCCTTAGAGATCAGCGGCTGGTGAAGGAGCTGGTGGCGGGGGTCACCCGACTGCGGCGCCGACTGGACTTCGTGGTCGCCAACCTGACGCAACAAACACCTGCGGACATGGAGTCGGGAGTACGGCAGGTGAGAGAGGCGGAGAGTACGACAGGAGGAAGGGCTGTCGCGTCGAGGACGACTTGGGCTCTGGCCCCCCGTCTGGGGTCTTCAACTGCGGCCAACTAACGGTCATCGTCCAACTTACAAACTCCCAACCTCCTGGAAGTGTAACGGCTTTATGATTATGAACCTGACTGATGCCAGGTGCTTCGGTTGGGTGTGTACGAGCTGACGGAACGACGCTTGGCGCCGTACGCTTTGAACGAGCACGTACAACTCGCCAAGGTGGTTTCGGGGCCGGGGGCCGGCTCCTTCGTCAACGGTGTTCTCAGATCCGCCGCCCGGCAGGTTGAGGCCGGTACCCTCCCCACACCTGAGGTACGTCGTATAGCCGTACATAGGCCTCTGTCCCGTACTGCCGTACAGGTCTCTAAACAGCACCCACAGGCCACGTTTTGCTTAATGTATTGGGCATGGCATTGGCGAGAGTCTGGATTACATTGAAACTGTACACGAGTTGTGCCTGTCATGATCCGCGCTTGGGCCACCTCACCGTTGCCATTTTGTGTTTGGTAAGGGTGGTTTTAGCGTGGTTTTGGTTTCGGAGCATCTCTTTTAGCTGGCGTTTCGCTGCCTTTCGCTTCAGACACCATGAAGGAAAACCCCTTCATGCCACCCCCTTCTCCCTCCCTCCCCATTTTTTCCTTTGGTTTCTTACAAACTTTGACCACCCCACAGTTCAGGGCCGGCAGCGAAACCCAAGCCAACTCCCCCTCCACCACCTCCTCCACCACCTCCTCCACCACCTCCTCCACCGCCTCCTCCACCACGCCCTCCACCACGCCCTCCACCACGCCCTCTACCACCACCTCCTCCACCACCACCTCCACCACCACCTCCACCAGCACTCGTGAAGCTCTCCGTCTCCTGGCTCTGCAGCACTCTCACCCCAACTGGCTCGTATCCCGCTGGCTGAGCCGCTTCGGCCGGCAAGGCACTGAGGCCCTGCTGCGCCGCAACAACATGCCGCCCATCTACACGGTCCGTGTCAATACACTGAGGGCGGGAGCTAGCGTGGAGCGGTTGTTGGGGCAGTTGGCGGCGGTTGGGGTGGAGGCGGAGGCGTCGCCGTTGATGCCAACGGAGTTCATTCGGATTCGGTCGGGGCTGCAGAAGTTGTTGGCTGAGGTAGGTTGGTTGGTTGGTTGGTTGGTGGTTAGAGGGGGAAGGGAAGATGGGGCCTGGGATTCCCTTGGCAGAGGGTGAGGGAGGGAGGGAAGGCGTGTGGGAGGGAGGGAGGGGAGGGTGTGTATCTCTGCGCTCATGCTTGTTCGCTCGCCTGGATATGGGCGTCGTGTGTGTCCATGTATGTATGTATGTTTATATGTGTGTATGTATGTATTGTGTGCGGTACATCTTCTGACGTCAATCTGTGTGTAGGTGTGTGTTTCGCCTCGTACAGCTGCGCTAGGTAATCGAGACCGTCTCCTCCCCTTCCCGTAAAACTCCCCTTTGGGGGGAAAGGGAAGGGAAGGCGGCAGAGGAAAGTTTGGAAAGCCATTCAAGTCATTCACGTGTTGTCCTGGAGGGGCCGCCCGCGGGTGTACGACCACACACGTGTTTATTGGTTTTCGTCGTGCTCTGCTCATCCTGCAGGGTTTCGTGTCGGACGGTTCTCTTGTCGTACAGGACGAGTCCGCAGGCCTCGTGGTTTCCCTCCTGGACCCTCAGCCCGGGGAGAGACTCCTGGACTGCTGCGCGGCTCCCGGGGGTAGGTACGGAAGAAACATACATCCATACATACTTCATACATACTTCATACATACTTCATACATACACCCCAAAAACCCACCCGGGGATTTGCGCCATTGCTGCAGTAACAAACTGAAGGTCGATGTGTATGTATGTAACTTCATAATTCACAAATTTTGGTGAATACTACATTTTAGAGCAATACAATAATAGTACAGCAACACAACACAGGGCACTTCCACTCCTGCGGAGATCCACCCCCCATTAACGAACCCTCCTAACCACGACTTTAACTCCCAACCGCTAACTCCCAGGCAAGACTCTCTTCGCGGCGGCCCGGATGCGAGGTCACGGCAGCATCACGGCGCTGGATGTGTCGGCGCCGCGCCTGGGCGCCCTCCGCCGCGCCGCTGAGCTGGCGGGTGTCGAGGACATGGTCACCACACGCGCAGTGGACTTGCGCAGGTGGGCCCGACAGGCAGCGGATCGGGCCGCGTGGCAGGAGGAGATGCGGTCCCCGCCGCCGCCGCCGCCGCCGCCGCCGCCAACGGCGTTGGCGGCGGCGGCGGCGGCAACATGGGTTGGGCAGCAGCGGGTTCGTGTCGATATGGGGCCGGAAGAGCGGAAGGAGACGGAACGCAGCGGCAGCGGTGGAGACGATGCGAGGCGGGTACGGCAACCGGATACGGCAACCATGTGGCAGTACGACAAGGTCTTGTTGGATGCGCCGTGTACGGGTGAGTGGGGTGTGTGTATGTTGTGGATCCAGTTATCGGAAGGCGCCCTGGGAAAGGAGTGGGAAAGGTCAGGGCAGGGAGCTTCAAGGCTTTTATTATTCGTTTGCTCTCTCGAAGAACCGTCGAAGGGAGTTCAATAAAATTGAAAAATTTGTGGGGTCAGACACACGCACACACGCGCGCGTATTGATTATTTAATTATATAATTATTTATTTATATGATGTGTATTCCAGGATCACCAGGTCCAGTTGACTAAAATATTGAGTGGAAAAGGTAGGGCCAAGAAGGCGCATCACTCGCCTATGTTCCTGGAGATCATTCCTTCTTCGCGCTCAGATTTGACCTCAACCTCAACCTCAACCTCAACCTCGCATTTAAAAACGCCTCTCGCCCCAAAATCGGTTCCACCCCGCCTCTTCATTCCAGGAACGGGTGTTTTGGCCAAACGTGCCGATCTGAGGTGGCGCCGTACACCTGAGCAGCTGTACGAACTGGTGGCGTTACAACAGGAGCTGCTGGAGGCGGCGGCGTGCCTGGTGGCCCCTGGGGGAGTCCTAGTGTACAGCACATGTGAGTGTGCCGTACTTACCGTATATGTACTCGCACTCTTCTGTCGTACATACTCTTCATTCAGTTGAAATCTTCACCTCACCCCCGATTGCTCTCCTCACCCCAAGTAAGCTCTTTTCGGGGCCCTCCTCCCCGCCCACCGACACACTGGCCTTCTCTCTGTCTCTTATCCTCCGGGGGCCAGTTGCAGTTCATTTTGCTTCCGACTCCAACAACTCCAGCGGTTGACATGAACTGTGTCTGTGTAGGTGTGTATGTGTGTATGTGTCCGGTACACTTGGCCGGTGCTGCTTCCTGCACGCAAAAAAGGATAAACCCATCCAACCATTACCCAACCACCACCCAACCAACTCCGCACACACGCATGCACTCACCCAAACCCACATGCACCCAAACCCAACCTCCCCCGCCCCCCGCATTCCCCCACACCCCCAACACCCCCGCACGCCACCTCAGGTAGCATAGAGGAGGAGGAGGACCAAGAGAGGGTGCGGACCTTCCTGGAGCGGCATCCGGAGTTCGAGGTGGAGCCGGCGGCGGCGGCGGCAGTGCCATCCGGCCGCCGTGGTTTCGGAGCCTCGTGGGTGCCTCCCTCTGTAGTGACGGCGGAGGGCTTCATGGCCACGTTGCCGCACGTCCACGACACGGATGGCGCGTTCGCGGCGCGGCTGAGGCGCCGACCTGGTGCACGCGCACACGCGCACACACATACATACAAATAGCTGCTGCTGCAGCAGCAGCAGCATTGTGTGAGCCTAGAAATCCGTAATGCTGCTGGTGATGGTGATGGTGGTGATGGTGATAATGGTGATGGTGATAATGATGGTGATGGTGGTGGTGATGATGATGATGTATAAGGAAAGGGATGAGAGCTCTTAAAAAGAGGTGATCATGGGGGGGGACTTGTGAAAGACCGGATGAAGGTCGAAAACCCCCCATGATCACATACATACAGACATACATACAGACTCACGCACACGTATCCATACGCAGTGATGGCTTGCCTCCCCCGTGGGGAGCAACATTTAGTTCGGTAAGTCCTCGGTAGCCTCCTCGCGGCTGGGGCTGCGCAACCTTCGGCATTGGTGTCACGCCATATGACATGCTAACAGACACAAGAAATGCGGATGGCTCACTACATTGGTTCGCCAAGCTCCACCTGGTTAGCTGACCACCTTGCGGAAAAGGGCTTTTCGCCCCATTCCTTGTCCCCACACGGTCCTGGACAGGGTGCCTGGGTGTCTTGGCCGACAGGGTTTTAGGGTTTTCATTTCTGTTCTCCCTCCATGCCCCTATGGCCATCGTGCCATTCCAACGTTCTTTTGCGTAATACACAGTTGACGCGGCACAGCCGTACATACGTACAGCATTACAAAAGCATATTACAAGATCGTTTGTTTCAACTGGCGCTAGCTATATTCCGATAGCTCCGAAACCATAAGTTGAGCTGTGTCGCAGTCCTACCCCCCATTTTCCGACAGCTTGCTCTCGAGTTGACCAGAGAAACAGGCGGAAACCCGGCGAAAGAGCCGATATTCAGCACCTGGGGTCCGTAACAATTTCATTTTCTTCTTTCTGTCGCCGACAAAATTGAAGTTAATGTCACCACGGCACGCTTGACATCTGCATATGAACCATCACGGTAAAAGCTGTACGACATCTCCGTCATATCCCCCACCTATAAAAAGAGAAACAAAGAAGTTTGAATGCGATACCACAAGCTAAGCGACACAAAAGAGCGGGCAACTAAACACAAAGCAAAACACAAAAAAGACACCATATTTCAGCAAGAGAGCGCGAGGCCATACTGCAATGCATGATTACTAAAATGGTGTATGTATGTAGGTATACGGGTCATGCTTCATGGTCACAAGATATCTATAGGGCCAAGGGCGGGGGCGGGGGAAGAGGGGCCCAAGACGACAAGTTGCGTCCCCCGCCGCACCGCAATGTCTGTTACGGGTCGTCCTTTACACATAGCACATAACAGTGCTACAGAAAAACAACGCATGCTATAGCCACGCGTCCGAGGAAACGCCAGACTAATACCAAAAAAGGTAAGAGGAGATCATCAAGGGCAGCCAAAGCAAGAGCAGCCAAAGCAAGAAAAAAACGCGTCCCATGCAAATCAAAAAGTTACAAACGTACAGCAGCGCCACACGACAATGCCGGCGCGGTCAATAAAAACGTTGCCTATTCAAGCACAACCACAACCTGAGACGTCGTTCGAGATCTAGCTAGTCCTAGAGATCACCGAATAGTCACATCGCACCAATATCTTACCTCAGTTCGCCATTTGTACGTCGGTCGGTTAGTTCGGTTACGTCGGTTGCAAAATAATTAATTAACAATAGTGCCACATCGCTAAGAGGTCACGCAATTAGAGCATACGAATGGGTCACAGATGCGTCGCCGTCAAGCCCGCCGTACTGTACGACAATCAATGCTTGGATCATTTTAGATGCAAAAATCCCTAACTTTCGACCATGGCTGGTCACCGTGATGGCTTGCCTTCGGGTTTCGCAGCCCGATGACGTCACACTACCGTACTGAAGTCCTAATAATCGCTCTTGTCAAATGCGCTGCTTTCGCCATGGCTATACGCACACTCCGATAGATAGGACAACAAAAATTTAAAATTTTATATCTATAGCCCACATCAATAATGATTTAATTAGGCATTAGCTAGTAGCTCAGCGCTTGTACGACATGCAATGTTGTACAGCTCCCCGATCAAGAAGAGACACCCCTTCTTGTTGTCAACACATCACATCACATCACATCACATCACCACCACCACCACCATCACAGCAGCGGAAGCTGTAGCCCTGACACACCCAAAAGAACAAACGGAAGATTCCTGAACAGGCACCGGACTGTTACCTGTGATGCAAAAATGTGGCCGACACGACGCGTGTCTCCCACTCTTTTTCTCTCCCTTCCCCTCCCTCCCTTCCTCTCTCTCTGTCTCTCTCCCGTCCACCTTGCCGTGTACGGCAGATGGCGTTAGTCAGGTGGTATTTCCGGTCCACTACCGGCTACTGGAAAACCCTAGCACGAGGACCCCCTTTCCCCCCTTCCATCCCGCCCCTGACCCCTTCCCTCAAAGGAAGAGAACAGGAGGCCAGAACTGTACGACACCACAACACCAGCGGCACGTGCCCTCCAATTACAACACATCCACGGTGGCGACGGGTGCCGTACCCGACGTGTGGCCGCTGCCGTACATGACAGGCGCCTGCAATCCCACTGTTTGAGACGACATTTGCATTTGCTGTTGGTGCTGTTGCTGTTGGTAGTGATGATGATGGTGGTAATAGAGCTGCGGATTTGCGGCCGATGACGGGGCACTACTCGTCGGTGACGTCATGCCGCCGCCGCCGCCGCCAGGAGCAGCGCCGCCGGAGCTGCCGCCACGCAAATGGTACTTCACTCGCTCCAGGACACCAACGGGACGCGGACTGCAGTACTCCGCCGGCTGCAATCCCGATGCGACGGGCGTCGGCGCAGGCAGGCCGTACGGATCCATCCCTTTGACGGCGCCGCCGCCCGCCGGCAGCCGCTGGGGGCTGCTGTAGGCGCTGTCACCGTTCCTCCCGCCGCTGCCGCTGCCGCCGCCAACAAGGCTCGATGGACGACCCACACTCAAGGATACGACAGCTCCCCAGTTTCGCGTCAGCTCATGCAATGTATTCGGGGAGGGTATTGCTCCGGAACCAGCGCCGAAACCAACACCGCCAGGTAACTGCTGCTGCTGCTGTACGGCGCCGCAGCCACCAGCCAGCGGCTGCTGCTGCTGCTGAATTAAGCCCTGTAGGGACCCGGTGCACGAGCTGGGTCGAAACGACGTGATGTATGTCGATGACCCCTTACTCGCCGTACTCACCGCCGCCGCCGGCGTGTCTGCGGAAGGGCTCGACAGGGGCTTACCAGGGCTATCTGGCTGGGGCCGCGGCGGCTTGCCAAAATAGCCGTTTGGTGACGCCGCCGCCGTCGCCGATGGCGCGTCCGGCCGTAAAGACGGCGGAGAGGGCAATCTCCCGCACAAGCCTGCAGAAGATAAAGAGCCGACCAGAGGTCGCGCCAGGGGCGATAAAGGGCCGCTAGAGCCGCCGCTCTGGCTCGGCTGGAGGCCACCAGTGGTGGCGGCGGCGCTGCGGCCGATTCGCGATGGGCTGCCAAACGCCCTATCGCCGCCGCCGCCGTTGGAGCCGGAGCGCCCGCCCACCGGGCTACCGCCGCCGCTACTGCTACCGCCACCGCCGCCGCTGCTCCTGCTCCGCGCCACAAAAGACCGTTGCGGCGGCGACAGCGGGGCGGAGGATGATGCCGCCCGACAAACCTCCGTCTGCAGCAGGGCTCCGCCGCTGGTGTTGCCGTACAGTACGACGTCAGCGGCGCCAAGCTGCGGCCTTGTCATGGAAGACGCCCTGCAGCCCTGTGCGGCGGCGGCTGTGCTAGTGCCGCGAGCGGAAGAGTCGCGGTCGCGGTCGCGGTCACTGGGCATCGGGATTTGGACGTGGAAGGACTTTCTGATCCTGCCAGCTGATGTGGTACCGCCGCCGCCTCCTTCCCGCAGCTCCGGCGACTGCTGGTAATGGAGCGACGAACGGAGCATTTGCGCAGCGGCGGCGGCACAGCTGCCTCCGCCGGTTCCATGGGTGGCCGAACAGACACTTAAATTTACGTTACCGCTGCTGACGGCGCTGACGGGGCCGCTACTGCAGCGGTGGGCGCTGCCGACGGAGGGCGGACGTGAGCCGGCAGCGGCGGCCGAGCTGGCGGCGGCTAGCAAAGCTGCTCCCGCCGGTGACGGCACAGTGCGTTCGGCATGGCTGGCTGTGTTGGTGGCGGCGGCGCCGCTGCACATGGACGCCGACTTGAAAGCGTCCAGAAGGCTCCGAAGCGCGCCGCTACTGCCGCTGCCGCTGATGCCGCCGCCGCCAGGATAGCTATTGCTGCCGCTGCCGCCGCCGGCAGCGGCGTGGGCCCCGCGGAAGCTGGACGCCGCTACCTGCGTCGGCGGCGCCGACCGCCCTTGCGGCGGCGCGCTGGCAACCACTCCGCCGTACACTGCACCCGAGCCCACCGCAGGCGGCGGCGTGGCGGCGGTGGCTGCAGCTACCGCGGGCGGCGGCGGCGGCGTCGAAGGACTGTGCTGACTGCTTCGCGACGTGAGCATCGCCGCCGCAGTACGGAAACCGTTCGCCGACGTGTTATGCGTGGAGGACGGCGTGCAGGTACGCTGCGTTTGCATTTGCACATTTGAATTGTGGGGTTGAGCTGAAGCGGCAACTTGGCTGGAGCTAGTGCTACTGCTGCTGCTGTTAGCGCTTCCAAGACAGCTGCCGCTACTGCCGCTAGTATTGCTGCTACTGCCGGCTGCAACCGCAGATCCGGTCCCGCAGACGCTGACGCTACTGCCGCTGGCGGCAGCGTACACAGCGCCGGCGGCAGACGCCGCCGCCGCCGCCGTCAAACCCAACGGCGACGGCGCTCGCAGCAGACCGGACCGGTCGCTTAGCGGCTGCGTATCCAGAACAACGTCATCCGGCGGCCTAGGCGTCACGGCCGTCGCGGCGCGGCCGTACACTGACGGCGTCCCTGGCGCCGACAGCACCCCTCCCGCGGCGGCGGCCGTCGACATCGACGCCGCACGCTCCAAGTTGCTCCGAATCCACGCATGGCTCAGCAACGTCGATGCCGTGGGTCGTACTCTTGGATCCTTGCGCAGCGCCTGGGTGACAAAATCCGCCCAGGCCGCTGATGCCGTGGATTCAAAATGGATTGTGTTTGAGTAAATGATAAGGCTGGCGGTTTGCTTCTCGTCCTCCACCTCAAACGGCGGTCTGCCACAGACTAGCTCGTAAGCGAGGCATCCGACGGCCCACACATCTACGGCGGGTGAGTACGGGCGTATGTTCTTGCTCTGTAGCTGCGGTTCGGTGACGTTGGGCGACTCCTGTGTGTGTGTCGCCGGGTTAATGAGGACCTCTGGGGGGAGGGGGGAAAGGGGTGGGGTTAGGGGTTTGTGTAGCGGAGTGGCGGGGAAAGACGAACCACAAACGAGTGAAGCTGCTGCCAGCGGAGGGGGGAACGGGGGGAAAAACCCTAAGCTAGACAAACCACGTGAAGGAATGAAGCTGAGGATAAACTGATACGCCAGAATACGCCAGGAAGCAGTAATTAACCAGCAATGACTGATGTTGGGGGGGGGGGGTAAGACGGGGGTAAGACGAAATTGACGATACTAGCACTACTGAATACCAGGCAGGCGGGGATGAATGCCGGTAAATGCGCGTCCTGGTTGATTAGTTGGTTTTGCAAGGACGAGTGAGGAGGGTTGGCAAAAGTGAAGTGAGTTGACAAACGTCGGCCTTGGAGGTTATCCGTACACTAATCCGTACACTCACCAGGGGCCATATAATCTAGGGTTCCGGAGCGACTAAACGGCAGCTCTTTCGTCCAGTCGATAGCCAGACCAAAGTCCCCCAGTTTGACTTGACCGGCCGCGGTTATGAAAATGTTTTCGGGTTTGATGTCTCGATGCATGATGTGCAGCTCGTGCATGCGATCTAGCACTCGCAGCAGCGGCGCAATCACCTGCATAAGTCAAAAACAGTAAGCATCAACATCGACAACAGCACTACCGCCAGTAGCATTATTATCAGTAGCGATATCATCACCAACGGCAGCAGCAGCAGTAGCATCATCATCATCATCATCGTGCACCGCTGGACACCCAATGACTCACCTCCACACAAACCCACTGCTCAGGCAGCCTGCCGCCATTTAGCATCAGCCGTTTAAACAGGTCGCCGCCTGCATAACGTAATTCGGGGAAGGGCCGAGGCTGTGATGATGGGGCTGTCGTGAGGTCCCGGCTGGTTGAAAACGTGGAGGAGTGCTCTGCGTTCCTGGTTCGCACCTTCACAGCATTCCATGACTAAGTAGATGCCCTGTGCGTCCTCGAACGTGTCCAGCAACTGCACAACTCCCTTCTTGCCGACCTCGCGGCATAGAGCACGCATTGCCGCGATCTCCCTATCAAGCTTGTGGAAGTGCTTATCTGCCATCTTTGCCTTGTGATAAGTTTTGATTACCACGGGCTGGCCGCCGGATAGGAGACATTTGTACACGGTCGATACACTGCATGACGAACAAGAATCAGGAACAGCCCGGACTTAAGCAGCGATATGGATGCGGAGTCATGGGCTCGCGCTACTATGCTGTATTTGTATCTGTCGCAGAAGATCGCTTTCAAGTACAATCCTCCATAGGACGGTGGTTTAGGGATAAGCGATGCTCCTCAAAACCTCCCGCTGCACGCGCTCACCTGCCCTTATAAAGCTCGATCTTCTTCTTTATATCATATTTTCCTGATAGCTGGTTAGGTTGAGCGCTGAACACGCTGTCTGGAAACGAGCGCAATGATGTTCCGGTAGAAAGGTCATTTGCGCAGGCTTGCTGTGGCATGTTCCTGCAGTATATGATGTTGATTGTGCATCAGTTGCAGCTTCTGGGTAATGCAGCTTTCTTTTCGCCAGCGCCTTAGACGACTCTCGCCACAGCTGTGCAGTTTACCGGTAGCCGACGGCATCATAAACAGCATAGACTTACCCCGATAATTGCATACGTTCTTATGCAACTTATTTGATGGATAGGTTGCTACGAACGCTTGCTGCACCAACTCCTTGCGTCAGCCGCGCAACTGGCAAGACAACAGTGGCAGCGACATACAGGCTGAAAGGAGAGCGGCTACAGTACTTGCTCTACCATCAAAGCAAGAATCCGCCTTGGTGCTGGAAAATTCGTGGCCTTGTTCAGGCAAGGTTTACATGTGTTGATAAGTGGACGGAACGATACTGAATAACCCAAATGACTGGAAAGGTTTACACTAAATACCTAGCCAATTAAAACGGAAATTGTGCGGCTCAGGCTCCTTTAGCATAAGCTACGTCCCGAACAGCTACAGCAGCCGTACACTGGACGACCGTTGCCAAACCGTCTGCTTATGAAAATGTTGACGTAATTCTTATCTTGCATTCAAAAATAAATGGCCAACATACTTGACACATCGAAGAATACACCGCGATATGGGTCATGGCCTGTACGTTCGTTAGCGACAACACGCAAGATGCAAGCTCTTGTAAGCCATCAACTCACATAATAACGCACACTTCGGCGCGTACATGTGAGAACCGACAGCACGACTCTTGCAACAATTTAACCATCACATATGCCAAACACACATAACGCACACCATCGGCATTCGCACATCCATAAACCTGAGGAAATGCAAAAACTGCCCTCCGACATTTTCATCATTCATGCACTCTTTCACTCCACGACCACAAATTACACCACACCCTACACCACCTACGCGGAGACCGACATACATCACGACGCGGCGGTGGCCAACTACGTCGCCGGGCCCGCCGCTACAGCTTCAGACGGTGTTGCCGTCACCCCCGTTGCCGTCGCTACCGGGACTTGCACCGCTGCAGATGGCGTTACCGTCATCGGCGACGTGGCCGGTGCTGCTGTTGCTGACGGCGGCGGCGGCGGCGGCGCGACCGGTGGTGCCGGCGCCGCTGCCGGTGCTCCCAGCAACGATATCGTCTTGATGATGACGGCCTTCTCCTCCTTAAACTGTTCATCCTCCTCTGCAGTCACAATACAGCCCGCAACACAAAGAAGGAACCAGTTCTTACACGCCCAGCTCCCAGCGGGGGGGAACCCAACAAACCATCAACGGCAGCGGTCTCCTTTTGAACCCAGGCCCAAGGAGAGCAGGCGAGAGCGCCAACAAAAAGATCCCGATCAGGTCAGGTCCAGAATAAAAGGAGGCAAGATCAACATTTACTCCATTCACACATGCATACATACATGCATACATACATACATGCATACATACATGCATACATACATGCATACATACATGCATACATACATACATACATACACACGCCCTCCACATTTTGCCACACACACACCCTACATTGCTCGTACTAGCGCTTTGTTTCCCCCTGGTTCTGGTTCGGACCCGTTCGGACCTCTCTTGTCCTCTTCCCCAACTGACATTCAACTTCAGGATTACTGTCCCACTCTCACTCCCACCCGTCACCCTTTTCCAAACCCCCTTTCCCCTGTCCCAACCCCCCATCACCCATCACCGCCCCTTCCCTCACCCTTTTCCGTGTGAAAGTCCTCTAGGTACTTGAGCAGCTTTTCGCGGTTGTTCGCTAGGATGTCCACGACGGCTTGGGGCTTGTTGGGGTTGGCCACAAACACCTGTCGTGTTACGACGTGGGTTTTATGTCGTACATTACCGTACATGCCCATCAGTAAACCCAGCGGGATAGTGACGAGTGGCATAGTGGTCGTAGGGCAGGATGTCCTGTCCTGTCCTGTGACATCCTGCCATGTCATATAAGCATGGACCACACACCCTACCCCACAGCGCCGTACATCCGCGCATTTCATCAGACCAATACATAGTACGGCACAGGGTATACCCCCGGCATATTTTGCACCTTTTGGAGTTCCGGTACCAACCAATCTACCCAATGGCGCCCTAACGAGACTCCTCGTGTGTAAACCAACTAACTGACCAACTAACCAACCAACCTTAAACACGTGGAAAGCTTCAAACTGGATGCTCCGAGACTGGTCCTTGAGCAGCACCATCATCGTCATCAGGTGCTGTGGCTCCGACACGAACTTGAGCATCACCTTGACATTGCTGCGATCCAACAAAAGCTCCCCCAGCAGCTGTACGAACAACAACAGTACGACAATAACAGTAACCGAAATAAAAAATCTAGATTATTCAGGTAAAACCAACCAGTCTTACGCCAGGGCACGGAAAATGTTTACCGGGAGCGTCCGAGTGGACCGTGCGCACGTGATAAGAGCACCTTTTCCGGTTATTCGGTAGTAAATTCGGTAGTCAACAGATTCCGTTAGTGGTTCGGGCCCAGCCATACATTCATTCCGTTGGAAATCATCGAAGTCTTAAGTTGATTGTAAAGGTTAAGAAAGATAAGTTCGTGGTACAACAAGACTTGCGTGCTCATCATCATCATCAGCAGCAGCAGCAGCAGATTCCCACAACCAACTGAACCTCCCAACTCCCACCTTCAACGACTGTCGCCGTACCACGTAGTTGTTCGACTGCAAGAGCTTAATGTAAGCATTGAAGAACTGCGCAGCACCACCACCACACAGCACACGCGGAGGGATGGACGACGGGTCGATTGAAAGGAGAGAGGGGATGTGGAGGCGGCCTAGAGGGGAGCTAGGAAGGACAGAAAGCCGCATCGAACTAACTTCCTTGCAGCCAAGCAGCCAGGAAGGTAGGGGCAGGAAAGGGCCAGGTAGGCAGGTAGGGGCAAGTAGGGGCAGGTAGGCAGGCAGGTAGGGGCAGGTAGGCAGGCAGGTAGGGGCAGGTAGGCAGGCAGGTAGGGGCAGGTAGGCAGGCAGGTAGGGGCAGGTAGCCCAAGTAAAGTGAGAGCAGCCCTTGCCCGCCGCATCTTAAGGCGCAACCTCCCCAGCACTGCCACCACCATAACCCCCACCACAATGGCAATTCGCGCCGTGTGTGACAACGACAGCGTCAACCTCCATAAAAAACCGCACCACAAAACACACACACACACAGATACACGCTCACCCGCCATACCAAACACCGCACTGCCGCTGCCATGCAGAACCGGGCCGGATGACCGCCCCCCCCCACACACACCGCCAGCCACCCGCCACCCGCCCTCCATCCCCACCTGCACTACCTGCGACATCCCTTCATCACCTCCCCCTTTTTTCCCCCCTCTCCTCTCCCTCTTTTCCCCATCATCATCACCCCCTCGTAATCCTGGCCGCTGGTTTTTACTTTGCTTTCCAATCCCCCGGACTGCAGCGCCATCGCCATTTCCCTTCCAATTCCACCAGCCCAGGTCCCCGGATCGAATCCCACCTCTTGATAGTGCTCCTGCAGGTACTGTGCAACTACCTGCTTATGCCGTGTCAACAAATCCTGCGGAATCAGCGCCACGAAAGGGTACCGCGGGCGGAGTAGTGGGCAAGAGGGCGCTGGTTTTGGCGATCTGAGCCGTTTAGTTCGTTCGTTCGTTCGTATGGGCGGCGGCGGCGGCGGCGTGTGTACAGCGCCATGGGGAACCGCGTGAGGGTTGGGGGGCACGAGATCAGACGACAAATCGGAAAAGTGAACTGCCGGCGGGTGGAGGTGGAGGTGGAGGTGGATGTGGCCCCAAAGGGGGCCGACGTGGGTGGGGTCCGCGGGTGCTGCTAGCAGGGCCATAGCAGGGCCCACCGCGCCGTGCCTCCAACGCCCTCCCCTAGGGCTGGTGACCCACTCTTGAAGTCATCCATTCACCCATTCATCCATCCACAGATTAATCCATTCCCATCTTGAAATGCAGAAATGGCATGCTATGCAGGGCTATAGGCAGGGCTATAGGCAGGGCTATAGACAGGGCTATAGACAGGGCTATGCAGGGCTATAGGCAGCGCTATAGGCAGGGCTATAGACAGGGCTATAGACAGGGCTATAGGCAGGGCTAGACAGGGCTATGCAGGGCTATAGGCAGGGCTATGCAGGGCTGTAGACAGGGCCATAGGCAGGGTTATGCAGGGCTGTAGACAGGGCTATAGACAGGGCTAGGCGGGCTGTAGGGTCATTGTCGCTCCGCCGCCGCCCCCACCTTGAAGGTGCTGAACGCGTCCGACGCAATCTCAAAGTTCGCTACCACCACCTTTTCAAAGAACTTTAGAAACACGGGGCCGTCCAGCATTTTCCTGCGGGGTCAGAGCGCACACATACATACATACATCATACATACATACGCGCGGCTGGCAGAGGTCAAGGCCTGACTTCTGCTCCCGGCCGACCCGGGTTCAAATCCGCCTGTCTGCTCCTCGGGTGTTTGAGGAGTGTTGATATGGGAGGTGGCCCCCCATCATATGGACGATGTAGGACGTGATAAAATCAACTTGCGAGCTGACCAGGAACTAAGTTGATGCGCCGTTGATCCGCTAGATTTGGTTGGATGCTGGTGGTGAGTTGCCGAACTCAAAGAATACATTCTGAAGTCGGATGGGGTGACGGATTAGGGTGCCCCTCTAGCAGGGGAGAGCAGGGACTGCCCCGGGAAAGGGGGCCGCTGGCGAAGTTAACCACCCTGTAACAACATACATACGCGCGCATACAGGCATATAAACACACATCGTCTCATCTACCCCAACACCCATTAGCATCTTCCTCCATTCATCCGTGGCGTCCGTACAAGCCAGCGGTGCACAAGCCTCCGAAACCACGAACCCCGTATACCGCATATGCGGCCATGCGCCTTTTACCAGCCGCCAAGGAAGGACCAGGGCACGGCATGTACACACACACACATGCGTGTTGTTTGGCACCCCACCACTGAACCCACTACTATACACTGGCCCCACGACTGACGTGTTACCCCGCGAGGTGCTTTCCAGGTGTTGACGTTCCGATGTATACTACTACAAAGTCTTAAGAATCGAAGGGCGAGCGGGTGCAGTGGTCAGCACACACGGCACACGGCCTCGCACAGGCTCCTAATTGCGCTCCTTGACGTAACAGCCACCGGGGGCCACCCCTATATCCGCACCTGGCGATCTGGTCGTCCCGCAAGCAATCCCGAAGCATCGATCCGCAGTTGAGAGCAATGGCTGGCTCATCATACCTGCGGCCAGCGTCGCCGGCAAAGGATTGCGGTGGCGGCGCTCGCCTGGGCAATCGGCTGATCGACGGCGGACCCACCCGAGGAAAAGCAGCGTCGGGATCTCCGGGTGATTCAACACGTACTGAGCTCCTGGGCCCCTTTCTTCGTTCTCCCGGATGCGGACCAACGCGCCGAAAACCTGGGCGGCGTCCTTTCGCGATTCGAACTCGAGCTCCCCAAGCTGCTTTACAATCAGCGAAAGAAGGTCCGACCGACCCGCCTCCTGAGCAAAAGCTATTGCATTTTCCTTTGTTGGCTCGTGCTCGTCGTCCCCGAACAGGAGGAGTTTGGCGAAACCGAGGTACTTTGCCACAGCATCCTGAGCTTTCTCTGTCGCCCGTTCATCTTTTCTCGCCGCTGCGAATGATTCAAATCCTGCTGTAAGCTTGCTGACTACTTCTGAAGGTGTCTTTAGCTTATCCCTAAAGACCTTGTCAAGGAAAGGCATCGTTCAGGGTTATCCCTCAAGAGCCCACTCAGGGCTAAAGCATGTCTCGAATGGCCGGCCTATAATTTGACCATGATCATTACAGATTGAGTATCCTCCTATGCCTCTAGGCTGGGGCAGGAAACATAGAATGCGGGGGGCCAAAAGTCCTGTTAGCTGATTAAAATAGAAGCGTGTTGCACTGCAACATAGAACTGGTGCACACAACTTGGCTGTGCGTGGCGTTCCGCTGAGGGCACTCTTCTGTGATGCGCCGTACGATGTACAGCCCGAAACCCCCAGTTGGTAACACGTACACAATAATGCATTTCGTGCATAATTTAATTAACAGCGCTTGATAACTCTGGGACTATTTTCAAGGCGACAAGTCTGGATAAGGCCCCGGAAAGGCGTACAGATGGATACCTTACCGTTCCAGATGGATACATTCATTGGCAGCCGATCACTGCACCTCAAGTTAATGCCGTTTGGCAGTAGCTACGTTATGATGGTAACAAGTGATATCTTCGTTGTTGCACGGCTTGCATAGAATTTCGACGAAACCTTTTGGACTCCCGCGTCCAGTTCAGGGACGCGACACACAATCATGTGCTCAGATCAACACAAATTTATGTTCAAAGTTTTGATCAGTTTGCCAACCTCCTTGCCCAGTAAACGGAAAGCCTTGCCTCTGTTCCTTGCCTTGAACCATTGTCGAAGACGCGAATCTCGTGTTCTTTCGCTATGCACCTTTCCATAAACAGCCTGCTCGAGCAGCTACCAGGCCAGCTTACCCCGCAGGCATCCTGGACGTATAGCAGACTGGCTGGTACATGGACATCCGGCAGCGGTCTGCGTGCCGGCCTCCGCTACGACTGCGAAGCTCATCAGGCGCAACACATCGATAAAATTCATTAACAGCCGACAGCGTTCCTGGTACACTTTCCACGCACATATTCGTCCCAACATAATCGCTACTTCACATCCATGGCCGCTCTCAGCCCCCAGCAGCCCTCTGCTAAGCAAATGCAGGGCACACAGCTAACTACACGACCACCAACTAACACAGACAAAGTCCCGAGCAACCCTAAGTCCTTCTTCCTCGACGGGTGCCCTGAACCAACCCCCCAGCCTCTCTCCAGGAAGGATACAGAGCACACAAAAAACACGCCCCTCCTTTGCCGGGACAGACAGAAACTGTATATTTCACAGCACACAACCCCACCCGCGCATCCCCCCGCTGGGCCCCCCACACCCACCCCTACCCCACCCCGCACAAACCCACACAAACCAACACACATTACAGGAGATCGCACAACGACAACACATGACGCAATCGCTCCCCCAACGCTGCGTCGGCACCCCCGCACGTCTGCACCAGCACCGCCGCCGCCTCTTTCCTTGGGATCCCACATCGCACCTCACCAGCCAGTACCACACCCGCCACTAAACTCGGTCGAGCAAATCGCACCAGCGCCGCCAGCATCGCCGGGCCGGGGGAAGATGCGCCGCTGCCGCCCTCGCCTTGGCTACTACTAGCTTCCCTGTTCGCGTTGCCGCCGGCGCCGCCGCCACTAATCCCCGTCCCCGCCGCCGCCGCCGCCGTCGCCGCCGAGCTTCTCTTCCATGCCGCCTCCAGAACCGACCAACGCTCCCGTCGTAGCAGGTTCCCCGCCAGCAGCTGAAGTGCAACATCCCCCGCCACCGACACACAGCAGCCACAGCCGCCGCCGTCGCCGCCCCCGGTTACAGCGGTTGCGACGGTTGCCGCGGTTGCAGTTACATCCGGTGGCGGCACCAGCGGCGATGGGGATCCGTCACCTGTCGTCACGTTGCCTCCGTCCTTGTTGTCGTACGGCTCCACGGCTCGATCCAGGTCGTCTTCAATCAGAGAGCGCTGCACCCCGGCTAGGAAGGCTAGGTCTGGTTTGGTTTCGGTTTCGGTTTCGGAGCCACGGCCTTGCTCCAAGGCTATACTTGATGACGTTGAGGCCGATGCAGCAGCGGCGGTAGCAGTAGCAGTAGCAGTAGAATTTCCCAACGACAGCGCGCCGTAAGCCGCAGGAGTTGAAGGCGATTGAGGCAGCGATGGAGAAGAAGAAGAGAGAGGCGGAGGAGGAAGAGGAGGTTCCGTTAGGAGGTACTGAGACGCGGCACCCAAGCACCGCGGCAGCGGCGGTAGCAGGTGTAGCAGCCTATCAGCCGCCAGTGCGTTCCAGACCTGCGGGTCGGCGGGTCGGCGGGTCGGCGGCGGGGGGACGAGTCGTGCTTAGAGAACAGAGATTGACAAATACTCTGTCAGGATTCCAGACGACAGACAGACCCGGCGGCGGGGGACAGTGCATACAATCGGGGGGCCCGGGTGTACGTTTGTGTGTGTGTGTCTAAGTTCATGTATGTATGTGTGAAGGTGTATGTATGTGTGTATGCACGTGTGTGAAGGTGTAGTGTCCCGAGGGGTTCCCGGGGGAACTCGTCCTCCCGTCCTCCCGGGACTGCGCGATACTGCCTCTTACGATGGAGGAGAGAAACCATTTGGGGTTTTGCTGGCAAAAGCACGGCGCCTTGCTTGCTACAGCTACAGTTGAATCAGGTGTGCTACAGCCTTACTCTCACCTCACAGCTACTGCCTCACCTGCAGCCGGACAACGGGGTTTGCATCTCTCGCCAGTGCTACTGCCATGTGGGCCCCCAGCAGAGGATCTCCAAAGCAGCCGGAGCCGAGTGCCGAAATGAGCTGCTCGGACAGAGAGGGCGGCAGCCACTCGAGACCAGGAGGACCTGGCGGCCGTACCTGCCGTACCGTACGGAAGGAAGGGAAGAGCTTAAAAACACCCTATCAGTGTCCGGGGGGCCCGGGAAGGGATCCCCTCGGGGCTGGGGGTTTGGGAAAAAGGGAATGAAGGAGATTAGGTAGAAATTTGAAAAACGTTATCAGATCAGGAAAATGAAAAAGCAGCATCACCACCACCACCATCACCACCACCTAGTCAGCCTTCGCTTCTTCCTACAGCGCCTCCGCTTATTTCTACGGGCTCCTGACACATCATCACTCCTCTCCTACTGTCAACATCTACGTGATGATGAACCCTATACCGGGGGCTACAGGGCTACGTCTCTATCCGGTTGCTTTGGAGAAGTCCAATCATGTGGCACGACGTCGCAGGTGCCTATTCGCGGCTCGCCCCCGGCTCGCGTGAAGCCACCTTCCAGCGAAAACCACCATCGGCAGTTCCCTAATCGTGGCTCAGGTCATCAATTAACACACACCATACGACACAGTGCGACACTGTACGACACTGTACGACACAGATTTACGGTCGATCAGAGTAAGAAAAGTTCAATCGCGCAAAGGGTAGGACGCATCTCTCTCCTAGCAGAGCACAGCGGTTCCCCTCCTTACCTGCGGCGCCCCGCCTCCTCCTCCGCCTCCTCCGCCGCCTCCTTCCCCGCCGCCGCCGCCGCCGCCAATGAACAGGTAGCGATGTGACAGACCCGCAAGGGCCCAACGGACCCATGGGTCACGCCAGCTGCCCTCCGAAGCCTCGTCCGCGTGCTGGTTATCGAGCGGGAGGGGGGAACACGGAGGGTCGCAGGTCGCAGGTGAGGACGAGCGGGACAGGTGGCCCGGGGGCCGATTAGCGCGGCAGTGGCGATGGTGGCGGCGTGTGGCACTGGTGTGTGTGCGGGGGGGGGGGAGAACGTGGCGTGTATGTGTGTGTGGGGGGGGAGGATTGCACTGGGTTACATACACCTCCACGGTTGGGGCCATAAGAGCAGCCATTCAAATATCCAATCATGTAAATGACGGGGAAAACAAGACCCGCAACGACATGCATACAGACGTCCACATTTGGTACCAGATCCAGATCGACATATGGCCTCGGTCCAGATCCTATCCGTACAGGTCCAGATCCGCACACGTGAAGACTTACCCTGGTCGGCAACATCTCCTCAGCCCGAAACAGGTACGCGGCCCGCAGAGCCGCCTGCGCCTTGCTGCCCGCAGTCAGGTAGTGAAGCGCCCCCCTGTGCCCGCCTAGGTCGCTGCCATAGGCGCGAGTGCCGCCACCGCCAGTGCCGCCGCCGCCAGTGCCGCCGCCGCCAGTGCCGCCGCCGCAGCTCCCCACTGCCTCCCGGCCCAGGCAAAACAAGAGCGCACATCCCACGGGGTGCAGTACAGTCGCCGGCGCCGCCACTTGCTGCTGCTGCTGCGGCGGCGGCGGCGGATTGCTCTGACGCATTACTTGGTGGGGCAGGTGATGGGCCTCTAATAAGGCCCACTGGGTGGGTGCCGGCAAGCGGGAGCCTCGTTGCCCATGGAGCGACACCGGCGTCAACTCCAATGGATCTAGCCGTGGCAGCGGCGCCTGCGGGCGCGGCGGCTGTGACCCACGGGTCGGCCCAGCCGACGCCGCCAGCGGCGGCTGTGCATCCAGGACGGATCTGGATCTTGGCTTGGATTCAGCAGCAGCGGCCGCAGCTGACGTGGCGGCAAGTCTGCGCTGCGATACGAGCGACAGCCACGACGCGGCGTACGACTCGAACAATACGTCCGCCACGGCGTCCGCCGGCGGCGCCGCGTCGGGCAACGGGAACGGTGCGCTGCCGTCACCGCAGCCGCCAGTGTACGGCACTCCGGCTGCCGCCAGGGCCAACTTCGGATTCTCAGACGACAGCATCCCCGCTGCATCCCGAGCGGACCGCAACAAGGGCACAAGCAGACAGCCTCGAAGCGCCGTCCGTAACGCCTGGAGACAGAGGCCCTCGGCCCCCGGCGGCGATACCGAAAGGACCGCCAGACAGCCTTCCAACACGTTGAGCTGTAGCCGCCGCCGCCGCCGCCGCCGCTGGCTGTCGTCGTCCACTCGCGGGTCGTTTGGCGGGAAGCATTTCAGGTCGCCGTCGTCGCGCCGTGCCGTCACCGCGGCGGCAACGCCGCTACCGCCGCCGCCGTCATGGCCGTCGTCGTCGCTGTCGGCAGACTGGTAGACGCTGGGCGGCAGTAGCGTCGCTGCGAGCAGCATTAATCGGGTTATGTGGAGCTGCCGCTGTAGCGCCGCCACGTGCCAGGGACACAGCACGCGACCCACCATCGCCGGTACGGCAGCGGCCGCCTGGCAGCACAGCGGCGCCGTCGCCTCCACCACGTCGGCTGCCAGCGGCGCCGCCACCGCCGGCGCGTCGCGGTGTACGGAAGCTGCC